CTGGACTTGTGTCCTCTCACAGTGGTTGGACTAGTAGTGCCGCCCTGTACTTGTTCTTGTCTTGTCTGTACTCCTTCTGACTGGTCTTTTAGACCCTTGTCTCAGAGGCTGGACTAGTAGTGCCGCCCTGAGCTGCTTGTCTAGGACATTCCCCTATGCAGTCCAGGGGGTGTGTCAAACATGTTTATTGATCATGTTTGTATAGACTGTATAGGGTAACCTCCTAGAGGGTACAACATTTAGGTATATGTGCATGTACTCTCTAACTCTATCATTATTCAATTCCTCTTTTGTTAGTAGGCTCTCCAGGTCTACCAAAAAGCACAGCCATGGCCGACAAAGGCAGGCCAGCCATGGCTCTCCTAGCTAAGTCGGGGCTCAGAAGCGTGATTGCTCGCTGAAATAATGAACAATATGAGGGGTGAGCCAGACCCCCTCTTGGTTGGCGGCTCGTTTTCCTCTACGAGTGAAGCTGCCAGCAGTTGAAATAGGCTCGTAGAGGACAGGTGGCAAGGGAATCCTTGCCACTCTGTCCTCCTACTGGGTGTGCTCGCTTTCTGGAAAGGTCGATGCCTTGCCAGATTCATTGCATCTCACGCAAACCTTGCCTGTCTGGAGCAGATATGCATGTGCCAGCACCCTTGCGACGGCAGCCATGGTGTTGCTGGCACAGCAAACCGCCGTTCTCACCTCGTATTGGACCGCTAGGCAACTTTGCAGTAGCAGTGCTGGCGGAATATTCTAGACACGATTTCTCCCGATTTATCAACACGACCTGCATTTGTTAGTGGACCGAAAAATCACACTTTTCAAGAGCTACATTTTCATGCATTCAAATATTTTTACCATAAATAACTTATTATAAGCCCTGCGCTTATAAAATTTATTCAATTAAAGGCGCATGCTGCTTTTCTTAGGTATCCCCTACGGCATGTAGCACATCTACCAAGCCTGAACAAATATATACCAACTTGTATACACTATTTGATAGGAATAACTAACGAATTAGTATATGAATACAACATAGAGTAACAACCAGAATCACAACAGCAGCGTACCTGTTCTAGTCCTCTAACCCGTACACATAAAAGAAGGGGTTTGCCCCAGTAACCGAATCTGCAAGACACTTCCTGCTACATCACCAAACCCCCCCCCCCCCTCCCCCCAGCTAATCACCCCTCAACTTTATGGCCAATTTGGCAAATCTGTCACCACCGCCCTTGGTGACATTAGCAAAAACACCGCTTTCAGCACCAGAGGAGAAGGCGGCAGTGCTGACGAGAGCAGAGTAAGATGCAGGAGCAGCCAGCATGGCGTCAGCCAGCTCCTTGTATGTTTGCCCGTTATCCGCTGTCAAAGTACTGGCGCTTAGCCAAGTGCCGGTAATTTCGTATCTGTAACCCAGGGGAGGCAGAGGAGGAGGTTGCTTCTTCTTGTCCTTGGGCTTCAGTTTGCCGCCAAGCTTGGCGCGCTCGGTGTCTGACAGCGTGTGATTGGCCCACGTGGCGCCAGAGGCGACCACTGTGAGTGCGACGTCAGCACCGGAGTTGATGGTAACGGAGGTAGGCTCGCCGGCGTCCGTTAGAGTCACACCGACGTTGTAAAGAATGTTGTAGTCGTCGCTCGTGTTGGTGCTGCGGAGGAGAACGAGGGGAGGCATAGTGAGGGAGGGGAGGAGAAAAGACGGAGCGGAGTGAGGGGATGGAAGTGAGGGAGATGAGGAAGGAGGGGAAAAGGGAAAGAGTCTGGGGGAGAGAGATATGGGGCAACTGGGGCAGAGATGTAATGCAGAGATGTGGGGAATGACACTTGGGGCAGGGAGGAAGCTTTAGCGCGGGCGGGATCCCGAGGGAAGGGGGGGGGGGGGAGAGGGGGGAGGGGGGGGGGTGGGGGGGGGGGGGTGGGACGGGGGGGAGGAAGGGCGGGAGTGGGGAGGAGCTTACAGGAAGATAGCCAGCGAGACGCATCCAGTAGCATTGACGTCAGCAGTGAGGTCAGCATTAGAGCCGTTGAGGCGCGCTCCCACGACACCTGAACGAAAATGGGGCGGAGAAGAGATGGTGAGAGATAGAGGAGGCACGGCTGGAAGCGGAGGGGGGAGAAGGAGGTAGAGCGAGAAATATGGCGAAACCACAGTGCGGCGCCCAACCATCACCACACGGTGTGGGAGTGGAAGGGAGTTGGTTGGACGGGAGATGAGCAGCCAGCTCTTACCAACGAGAGTGCCCAGGGCCGGATCAAACTCCCCATCCTTCTTCCCGCCCTTCTTGTCCCCTCCCTTCTTGCCTCCCCCCTTCTTGTCTCCTCCCTTCTTCCCCTTGGGCGGCGGCGGAAGCGGCTCGGACTTAAACTGCCCCCTCGCTGCTCCCAACTCATAAGCCGAAGTCGCAAACCCCGCATAGTAGCCGTCTGGACCCGATATAATCGCATCCACCAGCTCCTTGTAAGTCTGCCCGCCCGACGTGGTCAGGGTACTCGCGTTAAGCCACGTCCCGTTTGTGCCATAAGTGAATTTCAGAGGAGGGGGGGCGGGCTGCGCGCCCTTGTTCTTCTTCCCCTTCTTAGGCGGAGGAGGCGGCGGACGGGTGAGATTCGCCCACGTGGCGCTGTCTCCCGTCGCGACAATATCGAGGACGGTGGTCCCCGCCTCTCCCGCCGCGCCCTGCCCGATGGAGACGGCCGTCGGCTCGCCGGCGTCGGAGGTGGAGGCGGCGACGCTGTAGAAGATGCTGTAGTCGCCGTCAAGCCTGACGGATTCCGTCAAGAATCGACGGGGGTGGAACGTCGGGAAATCAAAAGCGGCGAGATTATTGTTTAGTTGAAGCGGTAAAACAAGGATCACTGGGGAGTTACTAGATTTCAGGTTTTTATTCACTTCAGAAGTGTGGATGACGGTCGAATACGATTTTTGACTGTCCGAAAGCTGTCTCGAGATGTGTGTAATGTGACCATGACGGCCGGAGCCACTCACTGGAAGACGGCGAGGCAGATTCGGCCGGTGGCGTTGACGTCGCCCGTTGACCCAACCACCTCGGACCCGTTCAAGCGCGCCGCGAGGATCGCTGCGAGGGCAGATAGGGGAAGAAGAGGAGTCGAGGGGATGGAGAGGAGGTAAGAGGAGTGGAGGGGCGTGGAGGAGAGGGCTGGGTGTGGCTGGGTGAGGAGAGCGGCACGGTTCTGATGCTTCTTGTTTTGATGAGAGTCTTAGATTGCTCAGCGAGTCGTCTTGAAGGCGACGAGTGTAAAATTCTTGCTTGGATGCGAAGAGATTGCTTCACTATAGCAGCTAGAGACTCTCTAGTTGAGAGTCATCTTGAAGCCGACGACGCTTGGGCCTGCACAAGAGAACGTCTCTTGAAAGTTCAAGGAGGTCTCACCCGTTAGATTCCCGAGAGCCTGAGCGTCCTCCGGCTTTGGCAGCGGGCAAGGGCCCGAGTCAGGGGGGCCCTTTTTCCCGTCCTTTCCGTCCTTTCCCCCGCCGGGCCCCCCGGTCTCGCCGATTCCGCCCGGTCCGCCCGCGTCCGGCGGGCCGCGCTGCGAGCCCTTGGCCTTGAGGATCATAGCCGTCAATCGTGCCTCCGTGGTCGCTGCGAGAGAGGGAAATCGGACAGATACAACGGAACAGATTGGACGTTGGAGCCGATCAAATGGAGCTTCAACCAGCAGAGTTGATGCTTCTGTTAATAAAATGCAAGAAATGAGCACTTTTTGCTGTTTTCCGGGAGTAAATGTAGCGAGGATGGATTGCCAGTGGGGAATTCAAGGCGGCTGCTGATTCGTGGACGCTTGAATAGCCGAGCTTGGTGGCGTAATAAGACGTTAGAATGGCACTCACCGAAGTTTGCGGCGACTAAGAGAAGAAGCGACAAACCGAGGTAGCGCTGGAGCGCCATCGCAACTCGCAAAGTAACGCCGAAAAGAATGGAATAACTCTGATTGTTAGAAGGAACAAACTGTTTGTCCTTAGGAACGAATTGGAATGACAAAAGCCAGTTTGTGGAGGGGCTTTTATGCACCAGAGCAAACAAACAGCGGAAGGGGAGCACGACATAAGGTGAGATGAGACCAAGCATTGCGTCCTCTGCGACCTGAGAAATCTGTGGAAATTTTGAGTGGAATGCGCTGCGGGCCACACTGATCGACGTAATCCGCGGGGTACCTGGCGGGAAGGCAACCACAATGGTGTTGGTGATACATCGCCAGTTACCCCCCCCCTTGCCCATTCCTTTGTCCTGCCCGAAGAAACTCCCGAACAATAGGTAGAGTTGGATAAGGAGGTGGTTCAGAAAACACCATCGGCCCAAACTCTGGCGATAAGCCGTTGAAAAACGGTGACACGATTCAAAGTAATAGTGGAAACAGTTGCTTTTCATAAAGTTTGCCAAAAGTTTTGTGCTTCAAAGTCCGAGAGCACTCTAAAATAGAGCGGGGTAAACGGGACACAGTATAATACGGCGTCCACTGCGCCGCAAGACACGGTGAATGTGAAACTCCAGCCCAGGTGAAAGGCTCGTGTGGCATCCAAATGTTTTCTGCCCAACCCAGAATGGCTCTGTCTGTCCCCCGCCAGCGCAGGAGGCGCAAGGGTTGGTGCAGTGATAGATTCCTCGCTATAGGTAGACCGTGATACGAACAGGCCATTGGTTTCAAACAGATATCGTTGCAAAAACAAAAAGCAGCATGCTATCACCAAAGAAATGTGGTATTGACTTGGGGTGCTTTAGGTAGGTTCTATCGAATCATACTGCCATTCAGTGTAGTTACCGATTGCTGCCCTTCAGTCTGTGAAAAGCCTGAAGTTCACATCCTGCCTAAGACGAGGATATCAATCATTTGCCGACAATCCCAGAGCACAACCAATGTCTTCCGTCCGCGTGCACCTGACGAACCAGAGCGCAGCTCCAGCCAACATCAACGAACTCTGAATTCTGCCGCGCGCCGAGCCGAATCTATCAACCCAACAAGTATGTATGCTTCCTAGGAGGGTATGACCATTATGGATCCGTTCGGTCCGTCTAATTCTACCGCGCTTCTTGCTCCTCGGCTTTCCACCCGGCCTCTCCGTCAGTTTCCAGCGCCACTTTCCTCCCAGCAGCTCGCACCTAACCGTGCATCTCCGGCTACAGGCTGGTACACGGTCTGTAGCCTGAGCATATGTTAGGTACTAGCATTGCTCCATATTCATTCCGCCATCCATGGACAACGCCAGCTTTGCAGCATCTCCCGCCGCACCTCCCGCCGCATCTTCCGCCGCATCTTCCGCCGCAATTGCCGCCAGTCTGAACCAGCCCGTAGAAAGCGCGCTGTACCTCTGGGGGTTTAATCTCCGCGGGCAGACCAGCCACCGCGCGGGGCTGCGGGGGGATCCGCGCACGTGGCGCTGCCAGCGCGCGCCGCTGCGCATAGCGGGGGAGAAGTTCCGCGCGCGGGACGGGCGGCCCGTCGCGCTCGCCAGCGTGGCGTGCGGGCTGGAGCACAGCGCGGCGGTGGGGATCGATGGAAGCCTGTTTACATGGGGGTCGAACGAGTATGGGCAGCTGGGAGACGGCACTGAGCAGAGCAGAAGGTGTGTAGTGCGGTTGACTCTATGTTGACTCCGTTGACTTGATGGGAGCCTGTTCACATGGGGGTCGAATGAGTATGGGCAGCTGGGAGACGGCACTGAGCAGAGCAGAAGGTGTGTAGTGCGGTTGACTCTATGTTGACTCCGTTGAGTTGATGGGAGCCTGTTCACATGGGGGTCGAATGAGTATGGGCAGCTGGGAGACGGCACAGAGCAGAGAAGGAGGTGTGTTGATGGAATGGCCCCTAGGCACGAACCTTAGAAATTTTGAGTGGAATGCGCTGCGGGCCACGCTGATCGACATAATCCGCGGGGTACCTGGCGGGAAGGCAACCATACTGGTGATGGAGACGGAGGTGTGCTGATGGAATGGCCCCTAGGTTTCCCCCCTTCCCCCCTCTCCCCTCTCCCCCCTTTCCCCCCTTCCCCCCCCTCTTCTCTCTCAAACTACAGGGAACCCGTGAGAGTAGCAGCGCTGGCAGAAGCAGGGGAGGAGGTGACTGCAGTGGCGTGTGGCGCGCAGTGCACTGCCGCCATCACCAGGCGGAGGGGGGAGGGGCGGGGGAGGGGGAGGGGGACGGGGAAGAGGGGAGGGGACGAGGTGGAGAAGGGGGGGAATGGGGAGGAGGATGCGGAGGAGGGGCGACTGTGGGTGTGGGGTCAGAACCAGGTGGGTGCAAAGTGGTGCTAATGGGTGGAGAATGGTGTTAGCTGGTACAGAGTGGTATAAGGGGGGAACAGAGACAGGTGTCGCTCCACCTCATTTGCGCCCTCTCAGACTCATTGTGAGCCTTTGGCTCCCGTGATGAGATTTTGAAGAGCCAAGCCAAGCCAAGTATCGCCTCTCAGACTCATCATGGGCCTTGGCTCCCATGATGAGTTCTTGAAGAGCCAAGTATCACTTCTCAGGCTCGTCATTAGCCTGGAAGTTCTTTTGAGTCGACTCAAGAGTTGCCTTGATGTTCTTGATGTGTGGGACTATTCCAACAATTCCGTGAATCCCGTTTTGATTCCATGGCTCTGAACTCCATGCCTCTTTCCGTTTCTCCTTCCATCTCCTCTCTGCAGAATTCCAACCTCCCTCGCCTCATGCGAGGAGCCTTCCCTCCCAAAACGGTGCGCTCTCACATCCCACTTGCCATTCATTCATTCATTTATTCATTTATCATGGCACTTATTCATTTATCATGGCATTTATTCATTTATCATGGCACTCATTCATTTATTTCTCATTCATTAACCCAAGAATCGGGCGATTAATCCGAGTGTGTTTGCTTCAGGTGGTCGTTCCAAGACTGTTGTGATAACCTGTTCCAAACAAAATCATCCTACACTTTTCGCCACATTTCGTCCTCCCTCCCCCTACTTTCCCGCCGCCCACCGATTCTCGTCCAGGTGGTTGTTCAGGTGTCTTGTGGCGATTCCCACGCTGCTGCTGTTTCCAAAACCGGCTTACTGCAGACATGGGGTGAGAGGGATGGGGATGGGAGCCGTTCTTATATGGTGGAACTCGATTGAATGCGATGTATGTGGTGAGATGTGACACGCATTCAATGCGGTGCTGTGGGATCCTGTGGGATGCAGTGCGATGTGTTGTAGCCCCCCTGTCTCCCTTGGACCTGTCTTCCTTCCACCAGGCTACAACGAGCATGGGCAGCTGGGGATTGGCTGGGCGTGCGACGGGCTGCAGCGGCCGCACCTGGTGACCTCCTTCCTGCTCCCCCGCTTCCGCTCCCCAACCCCTGCTTCACCACCCTCCACACACACGCGACGCAGGCTACAACGAGCATGGGCAGTTGGGGATCGGAAGGGCGTGCGACGGGCTACAGAAGCCACACCTGGTGACCTGCTTCCACCACGGGGAGTGACCTGTGCCTACTCTCCTGCCCCCCGCCACTTCCCCCACTCAGGCTACAACGAGCATGGGCAGCTGGGGATCGGCAGGGCGTGCGACGGGCTACAGAAGCCACACCTGGTGACCTCCTTCCAGCGATTCTTAGATGATCCGCCCTTGGCCTGCCCTGATGAGATCCGCACTGTTGCGGTAGCGTGTGGCGGGTTCCACACCGCTGCTGTTGATGATAAAGGGGAGATGTGAGTGGTATGGGGGGTGTGAGTCAGAGATGCGCTTTAAGGGCTGTGGCGGTGGCGTGTGGGGGGCTCCACACCACTGCTGTTGATGATAAAGGGGAGATGTGAGTTGTAGGGGGAGGGGGATGCATGTTGCGGAGGAGATATGAGTGGATGGGGACATTGCGATGTGGGGAGTGGATGTCCGGATGAGATTCGCATTGTGGCAGTGCCGTGTGAAGGGTTCCACACCGTTGCCGTTGACGATAAAGGGGAGATGTGAGTGGTATGGGGGGTGTGAGTCAGAGACGCGCTTTAAGGATTGTGGCGGTGGCGTGTGGGGGGTTCCACACCGCTGCTGTTGATCATAAAGGGGAGATGTGAGTAGGATGGGGGGTGTGGCCCAGAGACCCGCTTTACGGGTTGTAGCGGTGGCGTGTGGGGGGGTGTGAGTGGGATGGGGGGTGTGAGTGGGATGGGGGGTGGGGGTGTGCAGGGGAGTGTGAAGGGGATGGGGGGTGTGAAGGAGATGGGGGGTGTGAAGGAGATGGGGGGTGTGAAGGAGATGGGGGGTGTGAAGGAGATGGGGGGTGTGAAGGAGATGGGGGAGACGAGGGTGGGACTGGAGGTGTGAGAGACATGGGGGGTGTGAGCTGTAGACATGCGTGAAGCGTTTCAGACTGCTACTGTTGATGATATGGGCGAGGAGTGAGCGACTGTAGATGCTTGAGTGACATGGGGTGTGTGAGTGAGATGAGAGCTGTGAGACTATGTGGGGATGTGGAATGAGTCAGAGTGTGTGTGTGTGATGAAATGTAGAGGCATCCAGGAGCATGTTGAGGCATGCAGGGACATATAGGTGTGGGCATGTGGTGGCATGGCTGTTGAAAAATCTAGATGAAAATAAACCTTTCATCTGCCTCTGCACCTCCTCCACAATTCTGAGTCCTGACTGTGTGTGAGCAGGTACACGTGGGGAGGGGGGTTACTCGGGCAGTTGGGGCATCGTACACTGCAGGCTCGAGGCGGCACGTGTGAGGTGCTGCCGAGAAGGGTTGTGGCGTTAGAAGGAGTGGTGGTGAAACAGGTTGCATGTGGACGCACTCACACATGCGCTGTCACCGACAGGTGGGTGGGTATATAGCATATGCCTTTTTTTTTCTTTTTCGATTTATTTATACGGGTGCATGCTGGATGGTGGGCAGCTAGGCACCGGCTCAGGGCTCTTTTCATCTGGCCTAAGCTACTTCTACGTCTCTTCAGTTCTCCACGTCTTTACACTCAGTTCCCCCCGCTCCTCCTCCCCTCTCCTTCAACCCACCCCTCCACCCCACCAGGGGGGCTCTCTACATCTGGGGTGCTGGAAGAGACGGCCAGCTAGGCACCGGCCCCACCTCCTCCTCCTCCACTCCCCCCTCCTCCTCCTCCTCCTCCTGCCCGTCCTTCCAGCACTTGCACACTGGCTTTCGTAACCATTCCATGAGAGGGGGCGGGGTAGCTCCAGCGTTTGGCGGGCTGTTTCAGGGGGGGTTTGGAGCAGGGGCGAGTGCGGGCGGATGCTCGTCGCTGGACTTTGTAAGAGGCTTGGTGCAGCGCCTGCCCCTGCTGCTCATGCCCAAGGGAGTGCGGCTGGTGACTTGTGGGCAGGTACGAGAGGCGGTGACGGTAGGTACAGTCACCGGGGCGCCGTTCGGGGGCGGGTTGGGAGCAGGGTCATGTGGGGGCGGATGCTCGTGGCTGGACTTTGTAAGAGGCTTGGTGCAGCGCCTGCCGCTGCTGCTCATGCCCAAGGGAGTGCGGCTGGTTACGTGTGGGTAGGTGAGAGAGTGTGTGCATACCGTGCAGTGCGGGCAGGTGTGTGGGCTACGAGAGAGGGGGCCGGGGGTGGGAGGGGGGAAGGTGGGGGCAGGGGGTAACGGGGGTTGGTGCAGTGCCTGTCGCTGCTGCTCATGCCCAAGAGAGTGCGGCTGGTGACTTGTGGGCAGGCGAGTGGCAGGTGTTCATCCTCCTCTCTGCCACTCCATGGTAACCTCCCCTCCCCTCCACTCAGTGCGTGGTTTTAACTGCATCCTTCTTCTCCCCCATGCTCTGCCTCCTCTTGAGTGGACTCAAGAGTTGCTCCTGCTGGCCGCCTGCACATGGCCGGGTGGTTGACCCAATGGCCGAGTGAACGACCCAATGGCCGAGTGAACGACCCATTGGCCGAGTGAACGACCCAATGGCCGAGTGAACGACCCAATGGCCGAGTGAACGACCCATTGGCCGAGTGAACGACCCATTGGCCGAGTGAATGACCCAAGGGCCGAGTGAATGGTCGAGTGAATGACCCCATGGCCGAATAGATGTCCCCTTGGCCGGTCCCCTTGGCCGACTGGATGGCTCCTGCTGGCCGCCAGAGTACCTGCTGGCTTGAGGCGACTCAAAGGTCGCTGCATGCTCTGCCTCTTTGCCATGCTTCATCTCCCCCTTTTCTTTCCCCCTTTCCTTGCGTGTTCCCCCTCCCCCCCGCCGTCCCAGGCGGCTGTGCGGAGTCAGGCTTAGTGTTTGACTATGCGTCCGTCTCTCCCTACCCTCGCTCTCTTCTTTGTGCTTGCTGTGACCCCAGGCCCACACTCCCGTAGCTATGGCGGACGATCAAGTGATGGGATTGGGCTACAACAGCGGTGGGCAGGCGAGTATGCAGAGTCAGGCTTAGTTCTTGACCATGATTCCCTCTCTCCCTTATGCTCCCTCTCCCTCCCTTCCTTGTGTTTGCTGTGATCACACACAGGACCACACACTTGTCGCCATGGCGGATGATCAAGTGCTGGGCTGGGGCTACAACAGCTGCGGCCAGGCCGCCACAGGGAGAGAGTCGTACGCGTGGATGCCCATGCATGTGGACTGGTACGCGTGGATGCCCATGCATGTGGACTGGTACGCGTGGATGCCCATGCATGTGGACTGGTACGCGTGGATGCCCATGCATGTGGACTGGTACTCGTGGATGCCCATGCATGTGGACTGGTACGCGTGGATGCCCATGCATGTGGACTGGTACGCGTGGATGCCCATGCATGTGGACTGGTACGCGTGGGCAGGGTGCAGGCGCTGGCAGCAGGGGGTGGGCATTCCGCAGTGCTCACTGCAGCCGACTCCGTCCGCTGTGCCTGCACGCTCCTCTATCCCCCCTCTCTCCCCCCTCTCCCCCCCTCTATCCCCCCTCTCTCCCCCCTCTATCCCCCCTTTCTCCCCCCTCTATCCCCCTTCTATCCCCCCTCTAACCCCCCTCTATCCCCCCTGTCTCCCCCCTCTATCCCCCCTCTCTCCCTCCCCCCTCTATCCCCCCTCTCTCCCCCCTCTATCCCCCCTCTCTCCACCCTCTCTCCCCCCTCTATCCCCGCTCTCTCCCCCCTCTATCCCCCCTCTCTCCCCCCTCTCTCCCCCCTCTCTCCCCCCTCTATCCCCCCTCTCTCCCCCCTCTATCCCCCCTCTATCCCCCCTCTATCCCCCCTCTTTTCCTGCATTCCCTTGATTTCCATGTATCCCCTCCTTTCCATGCTCTTTATATTTTCTATGTTTTGCTTTTCCTTCACCTTTTCCATGTGTCCCCTCTTCCCCATGTTTCTCCCTGTCAGGTGTGTGGGCAGAGTGCAATCCCTGGCAGCAGGGGGTGGCCATTCCGCAGTGCTCACTGCAGCGGACTCCCTCAAGCTCCTCACCGAGTTCCGATTGGCCCATTCCCTCGACTTCTCCCTTCGCTGCCCGGGAAAAAGACCAGACTGCCCAAAAAGCTGCACCGTCCTGCCCGGGACAAGCGAAAGCGGCGGAGAAGAAGAGGACGAGTCAGTGCCCTTGCGCCGTCAGCTGGAGTTGGCTCAGCGAATCGTGGAGGAGGCTCACCGACTGGGGGCTGACTCCCTCGTGCGATACAGCCTGCAGTTCTGGTGGGTGCTCTGGTGGGTGCTCTGGTGGGTGCTCTGGTGGGTGCTCTGGTGGGTGCGCTGGTGGGTTTCCCCTTCAGACACCTCAGAATAGCCCTTCCATCTCCAGCGGGAGTTGGCTCAGCGAATTGTGGAGGAGGTTCACATACTGGGAGCTGACTCGCTCGTGCGCTACGCCCTGCAACTCTGGTGGGTAGTCTGGTGGGTGAGCTGGTGGGTGAGCTGGTGGATAAGTTGGTAGTGAGGGTGGTGTGTGCGTGTGCTTTGAGCTGCTGTATTGGTGGTGTGGTGTGGTGCTTCAGTCTAGCGCCTGAAGCAAGCATGGCTTTCGATTCGCAATTCCACATGCTCTCTAACTTTCTTGGCAGGCTGCGAGTCACGAGTGACATCGACCCAGACATGGATATGAGAAGGAGCAACCTACAGCAAGCACAAGAAGCATGGCTTTTGCTCATTCTTATAAACTAAATTATAAGTCCATGTGCAATTTGATCTCCTTGGCAGGCTGCGAGTCACGAGTGACATCGACCCAGACATGGATGAGAAGGAGCAACCGGCAGCAGGCAGACGCCGCCAAATCATCATGGTGTAGTTACTGTAATTATAGGGTGGGTGCATGTGCAAATATCTCGTATACATGGTTCACGTTCCAACATCTTGCACAAATACCTATGTACATTTTGTACAAGCCATCAGATCTTCCAGGCACCAATCCTACGGTCCATAGCATCACACCCCAAGAACCTTGTCCTGAGGCATTTCGGGCCTGCATTGTGGAGCGTGACTACACTTCTCATCACATAACTTGGTGTCAGACAGCTGCATGTAGGTAGGTAGTTAATTCCAAACATTTATTACATCTACACTGGGATTCCCTTCCCAGTAACTTTGTTGTCTCTCTAACAGCTGTGTAAAGCATAGCAACAAGAGCAGGTAGATGAATCCCATCCCACACGTCCATTTGTAGCAGTTACTTGCTACAATGATGTTTATTGAAATACGGCTGAACACTGCAAACCAGTCCACAGATGCATCTACAATCTACACTGATGGAATCTACAAGCGGCGACAGTAGCATGCCAAGCTTGCTGCACTGCGAGTTGCAACCCCAGCTTCCCCAGTAGCACCTTATCACTGCCAGCTGGCTACAGCAGCCCTGAGTGGTTGAATGACCTTTCAACCGGTGGAAAATTCCCAGAATGCTGCAACGACGAGGAGATTGCAGGCGCAGAAGATGCAGCCGTGACAGAATAGGCGTGTGTGGGCTATGGAGCATGTGCATGGTAACTGGACCGCGCACAGGACCGGTAACTGGACTGTGCACAGGACCGGCGACTGCACCGTGCACAGGACCAGTAACTGGACCGTGCTCAGGACCGGCCGTGCACTGGTCCGGCGTGCATTGGTCTGACCGTGCACTGGACCTATAATGCACTGGACCGACCGTGCATTGGACCGTGCACTAGACCGTGCTCCTTGCCTCACCTTGTAAATTGGGTTTTGAACCCCCCCTTTATTGTGGGCTTGCCAAATTGGGGTTGAAGCCCTCTCCCATGCCTCACCTTGAAAAATGGCTTCTGAAACCCCCTTGCCTGCCTCACCAATTGGGGTTTGAAGTCCCCTCCCCTCCCTCACCTTGTTACTTGGGGTCTGAAACCCCCTCCTTTGCCTAACCTAGTAACTTGGGGTCTGAAACCCCTCCCTTGACTCACCTTATATACAAATGAACCAGCAAAACCACATGCCAGGGCTTACTGCTTCTGGCAACACGTGGGGCATCATCATTGGCTGCCTAACATGAGGAGCTCTGGGCTCAACCGCCCCCCTCAATTCACCGACCTCACTGCAAGGGTTTCAGCCCTTCAGTCGTCCCTCACACACCTGGGTTGAGCCCCCCACTCATCCCTCGGTACGTCACAGGTTTCAGGCCCCCACTCATCCCTCGGTACGTCACAGGTTTCAGGCCCCCACTCATCCCTCGGTACGTCACAGGTTTCAGTCCCCCACTCATCCCTCGGTACGTCACAGGTTTCAGTCCCCCACTCATCCCTCGGTACGTCACAGGCTTCAGTCCGCCACTCATCCCTCACTCACCTTATGGGTTTCAGCCCCCACCTCTTTCCTCACTCAACTGGGGAATTTCAGGCCCCCCTCTCCCCTCACTCATCCTATGGGTTTCAGGGCCCCACTCATCCCCACCTTAGGAGATTCGGTCCCCCACTCATCCCCACCTTAAGATTTCAACCCCCACTCATCCCTACCCTGGGGTTTCAGTCCCCCACTCATCCCCACCTTGAGGTTTCAGGACCTAATCATCCCTACCTTAGGGGTTTCAACACCCACTCACTCCCACCTTAGGGGTTTCAACACCCACTCATCCCTACCTTAGGGGTTTCAACGCCCACTCATCCCTACCTTAGGGGTTTCAACGCCCACTCATTCCCTACCTTAGGGGTTTCAACACCCACTCATCCCTACCTTAGGGGTTTCAACGCCCACTCATTCCCACCTTGTGGGTTTCAGGCCCCCACTCATACCTACCCTGGGGTTTCAGTCCCCCACTCATCCCCACGTTGAGGTTTCAACCCCCACTCATCCCTACCTTAGGGGTTTCAACGCCCACTCATCCCTACCTTAGGGGTTTCAACGCCCACTCATCCCTACCTTAAAGGTTTCAATGACCACTTATTCCCTACCTTAGGGGTTTCAACACCCACTCATTCCCACCTTGTGGGTTTCAGGCCCCCACTCTTCCCTCACTCACATAGGGGTTTCAGCCCCCCACTTTTCCCTCAGTCACCAGGGGGTTTCAGCCCCTTAGCTGTCTCTAGCTCACCTCACCCTGGAGGTAAGAAAAGCTAGTGGCAGCAGAGGTAGTAAGGAAAGGGCGTGAAACCTCCAAAGTTTCGCGGACACAAGACACGGAAACAAAGCCAAAACTCCCAAGGTAAGGCAATCGAGCATGCAAGAGCCAATGGTTGAAACCCCCAGGATAAGGCGAACAAAAGGCGGAGGAGGGGGGGGTCCCTCAGCCCCTTGCTCGCATTTACCGGGAAGCTTCCCCCCCTCTCTCCCCCCCACCCCTCACTAGCCTTACCCTGGGGGTTTCAATCCCCCTCCAACGCCTCGCTGCCACTAAACTGAAAGAGGTACGAACCCCCTTGCATACCCATCACTCTCCTTACTTGGGGGTTAATGAGTCTATTTTGAGTCGACTCAAAATTAGACTCATTACACACCTAGCCTTACCCTGGGGGTTTTCAATCCCCCTCCAATGCCTCGCTGCCACTATACCGAAAGAGGTATGAAACCCATTGCATACCCACCACTCTCCTTACTTGGGGGGGGTTCAGCCCCCATCTCCCTGCCTTGCTGCACCTAACCTGAGGGGTTATGAACCCTCCTGACATGGCCATCACTCTCCTTACTTGGAGGTTTCAAACCCCCCTCACTGCCTGCCCCTCTCACTCATCTCACCCTGGAGATTTCAGCCCCGTCTCTGGGACCACTGAGGAGCCTCACTGCCAAACCCCACTGCAACACCTCGCAATCACCCCACGGCCCCATCTCACCACACCCTGCCAGCACCCCACCCCACCTTGGCTGAGTGAGAGTGACCGGACTGGTGCAGGAGTAAGGAGTTGTCAGGCACTCCATGCAGCATCGTCATTTGCTGCCCTGCTCCACACGCAGCCACATCACACTCGCCCCCATCCCATCCTCCCAACCCTCCTACCCATCCTCCCAACCCTCCTATCCATCCTCCCAACCCCCCTACCCATCCTTCCAACCCCCCTACCCATCCACCCAGACCCCCTACCCATCCTCCCAACCCCCCTACCCTTCCTCCCAACCCCCCTACCCATCATCCCAACCCCCCTACCCATCCACCCAAACCCCCTACCCTTCCTCCCAACCCCCCTACCCATCCTCCCAACCCCCCTACCCATCCACCCAGCCTCCCACCATCCACCCAACACCCCACCATCCACCCAACCCTCCATCATCCACCCAACCCCCCACCATCCTCCCATCCCCCCTACCCATCATCCCAACCCCCCACCATCCTCCCAACCCCACTACCCATCCTCCCAACCCGCAGCAGCAGGAGAAGCACGAGGCTCAAGCCCCTAGAGACAGCACCCGCAGCACCCCTTGCAGTGAGTAGCCAAGGGAGGCAGGAGGCAAGTACGCGGTAAGCCCAAGATCCAAATACCCCTCACCGACGTGGCAAGAGCTGGCCTTTATCCAGAAACATTCGGCCGCAATGGTTCTGGCGTTTGCCCATTATGCATTGAACGCGCGGGACTTGTGTTCAGACACAGACTGCTTGACACGCATACTTGCACTGCCCCCACTGGCCCCTCGCTGCAAAGAGCACTGCAGGTGCCGCCCTAAGGGCCTGCACCCCTTGCCACCCCCCACCCTGCGCCCCCACCTCTCCACCCTCCAGGCCCCCCTGTTGCCTTCCCTCTACCTACCACCTTTCCATGCCTCTAACGCTGGCAGAACCCTGTGAGGGAAGGGAGAGGGGAGGTGGGGAGGAGGAGAGGGAAGTTAGAATGGATTCAAGGGCAAGTGACGAAAAGAAGGAGCAATGAATAGAAAGCAGTGAAGAGCTGTGGGCAAGCCACTGGTGTAGGTCTAGTCACATGGTGCAGACCCAAGGGGGAGTACTAACCTGGGAGTAACCTGGGAAGGCTTAACCAAGGAAACCTGGGGGCGGGCTGTACCTGGAAAGGTGGGTCTGCAACAAGTGGCCAGGCTGCTACCAGTGGCTTGAGTTTAAAATGGGACAATGTGATGCAAGTGCGGAAGGGAAAAGGGATCAAAGTGCTCACCTGAAGTGGCTGGCCCAACACCCATACTCTCCCTTGCAGCCGAGTGCAGTGCTGCCCCCCTCCCCACCCACCAGAGGCACTTGCACACATGCAAAGAGGAGGAGAGGTGAGCTACAGTGGGCAAAGAGAACAGAGCTAGAAAGATGAGGAGAACTACGGTGCTCACTTTGAGTGGCCGACCCAACCCCAATACTCTCCCTAGCAGCCGAATGCAGTGCTGCCCCCCTCCCCACTCACCAGAGGCACCTGCACGGCCACAAGGGGAGGGGTGCGGGGGAGTGGCGGTGTTGACCCCCACACCCCTCCCCTCAACCTGCAAGGGGAAACACGCCAAGACCCAGAAAAAAATCAAGCAGAAAGAAATAAGAGGATGGAAACCGAAAGAGGTGAAGTGAAGTGAGGCGGGCAAATCTCTGGTTTGGTTCTAGCCACACGGTGCAGACCCAAGGGGAGGTAGTAACCTGGGTATACCTGGGAAGGCTTAACCTGGGGGAGGGGGGGGCTTTTCCTGAAAAGGCAGGTCTGCACCAAGTGGCCAGGCTGCTACCAGTGGCTTGATTTTCAAATGGGACAGTGTGATGCATGTGTGAAAACGTGTGCTGTGTGTGAGTGTGTTTGTGTGAGTGAGACTGAGAGTGAGAGCGTTGACAAGGGAGAACCAGCAGAGTGAGGACGAGGCTGGCTGGCTCTGGAGACGGGGTGTGTACTTAGTTGATTGGAGGTGGTGGCGGGTGTGTGTGGGCGGGCATGCACACACCAGTCAAGCATGCTCCCACGCACAAAGCCCTCAGGCGCTTGCCCCTCCGCCCTTAGCGCCTGGCAGGGATTGGGAAGGGGTGGGGGGAGGGTGGGGAGGAGAGGGCGGGGCAGTGAGGGGAAGGGTCCAGAGGGGCAGTTAGCTGGAGAAGAGACAAGAGTGGGCACATGGAGACATTTGAGTCGACTCAAAAGCTGGAGAAGAGACAAGAGTCCATAGGGGCACATAGAGACAGAACTGAGCACGCAAGGCAGCATGCCGAGGAGAGCAGGACCACTGGAGCAAACCCACTAGGTGATTTTTGAGTCGACTCAAAAAGCACGCAAGGCAGCATGGCGAGGAGAACAGGACCACTGGAGCAACCCCCTAGGTGATTTTTGAGTCAACTCAAAAAGCACGCAAGGCAGCATGGCGAGGAGAACAGGACCACTGGAGCAACCCCCTAGGTGATTTTTGAGTCGACTCAAAAAGCACGCAAGGCAGCATGGCGAGGAGAGCAGGACCACTAGAGCAACCCCCTAGGTGATTTTTGAGTCGACTCAAAAAGAGGGGTCAGGCTGATCAAAGCTGCTCAGGGTGAATATTTCAGAGAAGTACACTTGATCCCATACGATCTAAGCATTACAGCAACAAACATATAGAAATTAGAATGATCATGCAATTATATAAACATTTATTTATCCCTGTTTTTTTCTTTAGTGCTGTAGCTTGCTGATCCCTGTCTTCTTCCATATAGTGCATCAAAATTCATATACGAATGATATAAAATTTCAAGTCTTCACACACTTCACTACCAAGGATGTATCTACGAGTTATGTGCGTCACTCTTCTAAAGAATACCGTTGTGTCAAAACTGTTCAGGGTAGCATAGCAATGTTCCGCTGCTCATTTTTGAGCGTCCTGCCTGTAGCGAATCTGCAGGTTGAGTGTTGCAGCGTGTGGCTGCAAAACCAAGTCTCAGTCCACTTCTCGAGATTCTCCTGAGCTTCTTTTCCTGTTAGGTCTCTCGAGCTGCGAGTCGCCGGCTGACTCGAGTTCTTCGATCAGCAATTCCGTACGACACTTGATCTGTGTAGATTCCATCATCCTTTAGGTTCCTTTCTTCAGATTCCGTTTTCCTTTGGGATTCTTCTTCCTCATTTCCTCTCCTTCCGCCAGCGGAGATGGCGAGGGAGGAGGACGAGAGGGAGGGAAGGACGGCTCGCAGAAGCCGGAGCAGGAGTCGCAGCCGAAGCAGGGATCGCGACAGGGGTAGGGACGGCGGTAGGGTGAAGGAGAGAGATCGAGGTCGGGATAAGGAACGGGACCGTGATAGGGATAGGGATAAGGGGGGCGACAAGGAGCGACGAGATCGTCGCAGCAAGCGCAGTCGCAGTCGCAGCCACAGTCGCACGCCGGATCGCAAGCGTCGCAGCCGCAGTCGCGACCGGGAGAAGCGACGGAAGAGCAGCAGGAGCAGGAGTAGGAGTGGAGAGCGCGAAAAGGAGAGGAGCAAAACCGACGATCGCGATGCTGTGAGGGACGGTAAAGCGGAAGAGAAGAAAGGCGAAAAAGAACTGGGGATTGATGTGAAGGGAGAAGATGACAATGGAAAGGGTGATAAGGAAGGGTCGCGGAAGGATGTGAAGGGAAGTGCAGCTGCGGATGAGGGGAAGGTTGCTGGACATGTCAACGGCGACGAGGCGAAAGAAAGCGGAAAGCAGAACGGCGATGCTGCTGCTGCTGTTGCTGCTGCTCCGAGGAAACAGGAGGTACGGGGTGTAAGCGAGAAATGTCTTCCAATTTCACTGTGTAGTTATATAGCAGCGTTTAGAGCGTCGCTTCCTCCTCCCACCCTCCGTCCTCCGAATCTCACGTTCCTCCTCCCACCTGTGCTATCATCCACCTGTCTTGCCGTGCAGCCCTTGTCTCTGGAGGAACTGCTGAAGAAGAGGAAGGAGGACGCCTTGCAACAGGCCAAGGTAACACCAGTCCTGTGACTTGCTGTAACCTAGCAACAAACTCACGGGACCTGCTGCAGCAAGCTCGCTGTTCTGTTTGCACACCTTTTCTGCATCCGATGTCAGTCTGACGCACTTCAGTGCATGCATTGTCAGTCTGATGCATTTCAGTGCATTCACTGTCAGTCAGTCTGATGCACTTCAGTGCACTCAATGTCAGTCTGATGCATTTTAGTCCATTTTATGTCAGTCTGACGCATTTTAGTGAACCTGATGTCAGTCTGATGCATTTGAGTGCATGGAATGTCAATCTGATGCATTTAGTCCATTTGATGTCAGTCTGACGCATTTCCGTAAACCCAATGTGATTATACATTCCAGTGCATGCAGTGTCAGTCTGATGCATTTGAGTGCATTCAATGTCAATCTGATGCATTTCATTTCAGTGCATTCAATGTCAGTCTGATGCATTTCAGTGCATTCAATGTCAGTCTGATGCATTTGAGTGCATTCAATGTCAGTCTGATGCACTTCAGTGCATTCAATGTCAGTCTGATGCATTTCAGTGCATTCAATGTCAGTCTGATGCACTTCAGTGCATTCAATGTCAGTCTGATGCATTTGAGTGCATTCAATGTCAGTCTGATGCATTTCAGTGCATTCAATGTCAGTCTGATGCATTTCAGTGCATTCAATGTCAGTCTGATGCATTTCAATGCATTCAATGTCAGTCTGATGCATTTGAGTGCATTCAATGTCAGTCTGATGCACTTCAGTGCATTCAATGTCAGTCTGATGCATTTGAGTGCATTCAATGTCAGTCTGATGCACTTCAGTGCATTCAATGTCAGTCTGATGCATTTCAGTGCATTCAATGTCAGTCTGATGCATTTCAGTGCATTCAATGTCAGTTGATGCATGTCAGTGCATTCAATGTCAGTCTGACGCAATTCAGTGGGTGCAAGCATTTTAAGTCTGATGCATTGTTTCCCTCCGCCCCCCCTTCCCCCCCTTTCTATCTGTTTCTTCTGCTCCAGCCTGTGTTTCTGACCAAGGAGCAGCGGCAGGCTCTAGCGCTGCAGAGGCGCAAGGCAGAAGCCACGGCTCAAATGAGAAAGTAGGTTGGGGAGATGAAGGGAGCTACTTTGATCAGTCATCTTTAAACAATACAGACGCCACAGCAACCACTTTTCTCAGTTCAACCTGTCAAGGTGACCTGCTTTCTTTCAATCGCCCTGCCTGTCAATGTGGCTTCTTGCTTCAATCAGTGCTTCGATTTGCCTTTCTTCCTTTACCTTGACCGCTGAAACCTGTTTTCTTCTTCACCACGCCCTCTGTGCAGAATCGAGAACCAACGCCGGGCGCTAAGAGGCCTCCCTCCTCTTCCTGGTACGCATTCCAGGCTTGAGCTCCCCTTTCTTGGTAACCAGTTAATTTATTTCTTTCGTCTGACAGGTTTGCAGTTTATGGAACCCTTCTGTGCACATGCACTGTCATTTGACCCCCCCTTCTCCCTTTTATGCCTTCCCCTGCCCACCCCGGCCCACTTCTTTCTCCCCCCCCCCCTCCCCCCCCCCGCATGGCCCCCCCTCCCTTGCACTCTTTTGCCCTCTGGCGGTATAACAGATGAGAATGCAGAGGATGGTGCGGCAGAGGGCAAGGAGGGGGGAAGGGCGATGGATGTGGACGGGGATGAGGGAAGGAGGGACGGCGGGCGAGACAGGGAGGATGACCGCGGGAGGGAGGAGAAGGAGAGGGATGGAGATGGGGAGAGGGAGAGGGGCAGGGATAGGGACAGGGATAGGGAGAGGGACAGGGGCAGGGACAGGGACAGGGATAGGGATAAGGATAGGGATAGGGATATGGATAGGGATAGGGATAGGGACCGTGACAGGGATAGATATCGAGAGAGGGACAGGGAAAGAGAGAGGGAGAGAGACAGAGATAGGGATAGGGATAGGGGCAGAGACAGAGACAGGGACAGGGACAGAGAGAGGGATGGTGATAGGGACAGGGACAGGGATAGAGATAGGGACAGAGACAGAGACAGGGACAGAGAGAGAGAGAGAGGCAGGGAGCGAGAGTGGGATAGGGACAAGGGGAGGGAGGGCGAGAAGGGGAGGGAGAAGGGCAAGGGCGAAGAGGGGGGAGCAGGGAGTGGAGGAGGCACTGACAGGGAGAGGGAGTTGGAGATGATTCGAGAGCAGGTGGGTTGTTTTGATGGCCCGGTTGTTCTCAGGTCTGTGCTGTTCCATTTTCTCTAATCTCTTTCCAGCTGACCCCCACCTTCTCTTCCATTTCCTCGAATTTTCTCCATCCTTCCTCCCTGTCAGCATCCGAGTCAATTCATGCCTCGTGTCAACTGACCCCACTCTCCCCCCTTCCCCTCCCCCCTTCCCCTCCCCCCCTTCCCCCACCACGACCAGTACCTGGGGCTGCGCAAGCCCAAGGAGAGGGTGATAAAGCCGATTGAGAAGTTCCAACTCTCCTTCCCCCTCGTTCATGTTGAGTTCCAATCCCCCTTTCTTGCTGCTCCTATGCCCCTCTCTCCCTGCCGCTCACACCACCCCCGCCAGTACCTGGGGCTTCGCAAGCCCAAGAAGCGTGTCATAAAGCCGAGTGAGAAGTTCCGATTCTCCTTTGACTGGGAGAACACTGAGGACACCTCACGCGACCTCAACCCCCTGTGAGTTTGATCTGCTTATACGCTCTTATCTCGTCCTTGTGTCTTTTTTACATCTCAACTCCCTGTGTGCGTCCTCCTTGTCCTGCCAAATTCTAGACCCTCCCCCCCCCTTTAGGAGGGTCAGCTGGGGTTGGGATAACCGCTGTGATTGGGATAACTGCTGTGATTGCTTCTTGTCTATCCGTTTCACCTCCCTTCTCCCGTCTTCTTTCTCCCCCTGCCTGCCCCCCCTTCCATGAGAAACCGCCAGGTACCAGAACCCCCACGAGGCTCAGCTGCTGTTTGGCCGAGGCTTCAGGGCCGGGGTGGATAGGAGGGAGCAGAAGAAGGTGAGGCGGCAGGGATTTAGGGTGGCGCTTGGGCTTTTGAGGTGCCTCAAAAGCATTTAGGGTGGCGTTTGGGGAGACCTCTTCTGAGGGAGGGATGGGGAAGGGAGGCAGGGAGAGGGTGGCTTTTGGGTGTGGGGGGGAGTGAGGGTGGTGGGGGGCAAGGGGTGTAAGTGTATAGGAAAGAAGTGGAAGTAGGTTGCACTGTTATAGTCACAGTGGTCAGCATTCTCCTATGGTTGAATTATATTGCTTAGCCGTGCCTGCTCTGACATTCTGACACTTCATTGCTATTCTCTCTCTTCCTTCTGTGTTTCTCTCGTAATCGTTTCCTGTGTGGCTTTGTGGTGTGATCCTGCATGGTGGTACGGCGTTTGTGACATTCATGGCATGGCATGGTGCTACATGGCATGGCATGGTGCTACATGGCATGACATGGTGCTACATGGCATGACATGGTGCTACATGGCATGACATGGTGCTACATGGCATGGCATGGTGCTACATGGCATGGCATGGTGCTACATGGCATGGCATGGTGCTGCATGGTGCATGTGACAATGGCATGGCATGTTGCATGCATGGCATGGTGTATGATCGTCCACTGCATTTCCCTGCAATCTTCTGCCGCATTGCCTTACTTCAGCTTGCAGCGAAGAACGAAGCAGACATGCGCGCAGCCATTCGGGTAAGAGCAGCCGTTTTTGTAAGAGCAGCCATTCAAGTAAGAGCAGGCATTTTTGTAAGATAAACCATTCGAGTAAGAGCAGACATTTCTGTAAGAGTAACCATTCGAGTAAGAGCAGACATTTCTGTCAGAGCAGCCATTCGAGTAAGAGCAGCCATTTTTGTAAGAGCAGCCTTTTCATGCAGTTACCCGCTTCCATCCATCTTCTCCTCTTCCCAATTTCCACTCTTCTCCACGGTCTCTCCCTCCCTTCAAGCCTCTGTCTGCTTGTCACCCTTCCAATGCCATTCGGCCGTTGCTGATTACTCTTGTCTTGTTTCCCTCGTTCCTCCTCCAAGTTAAATGTGCATACATATGTGTGACCATGTGTACTTGTTTGTGCACATGGATCTGACTGTTGATGCTCATGTGCATGTGCATGTGCATGTGCATGTGCATGTGTATGTGCATGTGCATGTGCATGTGCATGTGCATGTGCATGTGTATGTGTATATGCATGTGTATGTGTATGTGTATGTGTATGTGTATGCGTATGTGTCCCTCTAAAACTTTATGTGATGTGTGTCTTCCCCTATCTTTTCATGGCTGAGCGAGCAGGAGAAGGAGGGGGTGGAGGAGAAGCCGGAGGTCGTGGAAACGACTTTCGATTCGACTCAAAACTCATGTGCATATCGCATGTGCATGTGTCCGTGTGCTCCTACCCCTCATATCCCTCCCAACGCCCCATCCCTCAATGCCTGGCGGAGCAGGAGAAGGAGGGCGTGGAGGAGAAGCCAGAGGATATGGAGGCGCAGCAGAAGAGGGAGGAGGCTGCTAACGCCTATGACACGTTTGACATGCGCGTGGATCGACACTGGTCAGAGAAGAAGGTGCGTGCATGGGCAAGACTGCAAGAAGAGGGTGGGTAGATGAGTGCACAGCATGTAGGGCGAAATGAGACAGCCAGCGCCCATGTGACATGTTTGACATGCGGGTGGATTGACACTGGTCAGAGAAGAAGGTGCGTGCATGGGCAAGACTGCAAGAAGAGGGTGGGTAGATGAGTGCACAGCATGTAGGGCGAGATGAGACAGCTAGCGCCCATGTGACATGTTTGACATGCGGGTGGATTGACACTGGTCAGAGAAGAAGGTGCGTGCATGGGCAAGACTGCAAGAAGAGGGTGGGTAGATGAGTGCACAGCATGTAGGGCGAAATGAGACAGCCAGCGCCCATGTGACATGTTTGACATGCGGGTGGATTGACACTGGTCAGAGAAGAAGGTGCGTGCATGGGCAAGACTGCAAGAAGAGGGTGGGTAGATGAGTGCACAGCATGTAGGGCGAGATGAGACAGCTAGCGCCCATGTGACATGTTTGACATGCGGGTGGATTGACACTGGTCAGAGAAGAAGGTGCGTGCATGGGCAAGACTGCAAGAAGAGGGTGGGTAGATGAGTGCACAGCATGTAGGGCGAGATGAGACAGCTAGCGCCCATGTGACATGTTTGACATGCGGGTGGATTGACACTGGTCAGAGAAGAAGGTGCGTGCATGGGCAAGACTGCAAGAAGAGGGTGTGCTTGCAGGAAGAGGGAGGACGCTGCTAACATGTATGACACGTATGGCACGTTTGACATGCACGTGGATCGACACTGGTCAGAGAAGAAGGTGCGTGAATAGGCCATGCTGCAAGAAGAGGGTGAGAAATTGAGCGTGCTTGCAGGAAGAGGGAGGAGTCTGCTAGTGCCTACAACACGTTTGACATGTGCGTTGATTATGATAGGCACCTGGTCAGAGGAGAAGCTGAGAAAGGGAGTGCTTAAACTAATGTTTTTGAGGAGCCTCAAAACCCGACATGTGCATGGATATGCACTGCTCAGAAAAGAATGTGAAGTCATTAGTAGTGACTTCCCTGGATCCATAGTGACTCAATGACTTGGTTCGCTTGTCATGAAGCGTAGATCAGAGTCTCTCCTTGGTTCGCTTGTGATAAACCCACTTTGATGCGCGTCCCTTGTTCCCTATTGCTCCTCTGCTCTTCATTTTCCTCTCTCTCTTTTTCTTCTCTTCCCTTATCTCTATTATGCTCCCCCACAGCTGAGCGAAATGACCGAGCGTGACTGGCGCATTTTCCGAGAGGATTTCAACATAGCTTACAAGGTACCGTGGCAGGGAATTATTGAAGTAAAATCTGTTGTGCTTTTTCTGCTTTCTGGATTCTCCTTGGAGGGTCATTGTGCCTCCTGCGTTGGTGGGCTTGCCCTGCTGGCAAATACGAGAAGGTGATTGATAAGCAAACATGGCAGCACAAATAGTTGGCAAGAGGGTTTGTTGGAGGGGCTGAGAGTAGTGAAGGCGATTGGGATCTCAATCCAAGCCTTGATACACCAATGCTGCTGCTTCCTCCTTCCCCTTTCTCCCATTTCAGCTGCTTCGTCTCCCTGTCCCTCCTGCTGAGAGCGTTGTCTGACTGCCTGCATCTCAACTGTGTTTGTTTGCCCCTCTGGGCCCCCTCTCTTTCACCCCTCTCTCAGGGCTCCAAGGTGCCTCGCCCCATGCGCAACTAGGAGGAGAGCGGGCTGTCACCAGAGCTGCCGAGGGCAGCGGATTGGCCACACCAATGCACCCAATACTGCTGCTGTTCCCTGTTCTCCCCTCCCTCCCCCTCTCCCTTTCCCTCTCCCCTACCCGCAGGGCTCCAAGGTGCCGCGCCCCATGCGCAACTGGGAGGAGAGCGGGCTGTTACCAGAGCTGCTAAGGGCAGTGGATTGGCCACACCAAGCCTTGATGCACCCAATACTGCTGCTGTTCCCTGTTCTATTCTCCCTCTCCCTCTCCCTCTCCCTCTCCCTCTCCCCTACCCGCAGGGCTCCAAGGTGCCGCACCCCATGCGCAGCTGGGAGGAGAGTGGGCTGTCACCATAGCTGATGAGAGCCGTCAAAGACACTGGCTACACCAAGCTTTGATACACCCCATGCTGCTGCTGTTCCCTGTTCTCCCCTCCCTCTCCCTCCCCCCTCCCTCTCCCCCAGGGCTCCAAGGTGCCGCGCCCCATGCGCAACTGGGAGGAGAGTGGGCTGTCACCGGAGCTGCTGAGGGCAGTGAAGGAGATTGGCTACACCAAGCCGTCGCCCATCCAGATGGCCGCGATGCCCATCGGGCTGCTGCAGAGAGACGTCATTGGCATTGCTGAGACCGGTGAGGAAGCATCCACTTGCACTCATGAGGTCAGGGACCGGACCAGCCCTGGCCCGCCCCTTGCTCATGTCTAGGTCATGTACAGCACATGCATCAGCCGTTGCCCAATGCCCATCCAGATGGCCGCCATGCCCATCGTGCTGCTGCCGAGGGACGTGATTGGCATTGTGGGGACTGGTGAGGTGAGTGATGGCGTCATGGCGTGCACTGATGCGCCCTTGTGCTGCTCATGCTGACTGACTTACATCTCCAAGCTACTATTGCGTAATCAGCATGCCTTGATGCACCATACCCTCCCAATCATCCCCTCCCTCCCCCCCCCCCCCAAACCCTCCCTACAGGTTCCGGCATGACGTGCGCCTTTGTGCTGCCCATGCTGATGTACACCTCCAAGCTGCCTTCGATGACAGAAGCCAATGAGGCCGAGGGGCCATATGCCGGTCCTGCGAAAGAAACAGCCCTTCTCTTCCCTCCTCACATGCCCCCCCTTTCCCCCGCCCCCTCCCGCCACCTCTCCTTGTCGTCCGATGCATCCATTTAGGTTCCAGCAAGCCTTGCCGCGCACCTTTGTGCTGCCCATGCGGACATACATCTCCAAGCTGCCTCCGATGACAAGAGCTAATGAGCCCAAGGGGCCATATCCCGGTTCTTCAAGACAGCCACCCCTGCTCCCCTTCTGCCCTCCCCTAACCCCCGCTTCTTGATCCGTGTCCTATGCACCCACCCAGGTTCGGGCAAGACATGTGCCTTTGTGCTGCCCATGCTGACGTACATCTCCAAGCTGCCTCCGATGACGGAAGCCAATGAGGCGGAGGGGCCGTACGCCGTGGTCATGGCGCCCACCAGAGAGCTGGCGCAGCAGATTGAAGAGGAGACGGTCAAATTCGCCCAGTTCATGGTAGGTTTGGAGCATCTCTTTACCACTGGGCTAGTAGTCAGATGCTGCTGCCATGGCTCCCACCAGGGAGCTGGCGCAGCAGATTGAGGAGACGGTGAAATTCGCCCAGTTTATGGTAGGTTGAGGTGTCTTAGTCTTTCATCACTACTTAGTCAACACCTGTACCCCGTGCATATGGCGCCCACCAGATAGCTGGCACCGCAGATCGAGGAGGAGACTGGAGCTGGCGCACCAGCTCATGGTATTTTTGGGGCGGGCAACTGTCTCAATGTCTCGTTACCACTGAGTTACTAGATTTATGTGGTGGTCATCGCTGCCACCCACTAGAGAGCTGGTTTAGCAGATAGAGGAGGAAACTGTCAAGTTTGATCAGTTGGGTACTCCTGTTTTGCAGGTTTCCTGCTCTTTCCTCTCATTGCTTGTCACCCCTTATCCTATCTAATCATACTTTTGAGGCGCCTCAAAAGTCGTCCCTTTATCCTATCTAATCATACTTTTGAGGCGCCTCAAAAGTCGTCCCTTTATCCTATCTAATCATACTTTTGAGGCGCCTCAAAAGTCGTCCCTTTATCCTATCTAATCATACTTTTGAGGCGCCTCAAAAGTCGTCCCTTTATCCTATCTAATCATACTTTTGAGGCGCCTCAAAAGTCGTCCCTTTATCCTATCTAATCATACTTTTGAGGCGCCTCAAAAGTCGTCCCTTCATCCTATGTAATCATACTTTTGAGGCGCCTCAAAAGTCGTCCCTTTATCCTATCTAACCATACTTTTGAGGCGCCTCAAAAGTCGTCCCTTTATCCTATCTAATCATACTTTTGAGGCGCCTCAAAAGTCGTCCCTTTATCCTATCTAATCATACTTTTGAGGCGCCTCAAAAGTCGTCCCTTTATCCTATCTAATCATACTTTTGAGGCGCCTCAAAAGTCGTCCCTTTATCCTATCTAATCATACTTTTGAGGCGCCTCAAAAGTCGTCCCTTTATCCTATCTAATCATACTTTTGAGGCGCCTCAAAAGTTGTCCCTTTATCCTATCTAACCATACTTTTGAGGCGCCTCAAAAGTCGTCCCTTTATCCTATCTAATCATACTTTTGAGGCGCCTCAAAAGTCGTCCCTTTATCCTATCTAATCATACTTTTGAGGCGCCTCAAAAGTCGTCCCTTTATCCTATCTAATCATACTTTTGAGGCGCCTCAAAAGTCGTCCCTTCATCCTATGTAATCATACTTTTGAGGCGCCTCAAAAGTCGTCCCTTTATCCTATCTAACCATACTTTTGAGGCGCCTCAAAAGTCGTCCCTTTATCCTATCTAATCATACTTTTGAGGCGCCTCAAAAGTCGTCCCTTTATCCTATCTAATCATACTTTTGAGGCGCCTCAAAAGTCGTCCCTTCATCCTATGTAATCATACTTTTGAGGCGCCTCAAAAGTCGTCCCTTTATCCTATCTAACCATACTTTTGAGGCGCCTCAAAAGTCGTCCCTTTATCCTATCTAATCATACTTTTGAGGCGCCTCAAAAGTCGTCCCTTTATCCTATCTAATCATACTCTTGAGGCGCCTCAAAAGTCGTCCCTTTATCCTATCTAATCATACTTTTGAGGCGCCTCAAAAGTCGTCCCTTTATCCTATCTAATCATACTTTTGAGGCGCCTCAAAAGTCGTCCCTTTATCCTATCTAATCATACTTTTGAGGCGCCTCAAAAGTCGTCCCTTTATCCTATCTAATCATACTTTTGAGGCGCCTCAAAAGTCGTCCCTTTATCCTATCTAACCATACTTTTGAGGCGCCTCAAAAGTCGTCCCTTTATCCTATCTAATCATACTTTTGAGGCGCCTCAAAAGTCGTCCCTTTATCCTATCTAACCATACTTTTGAGGCGCCTCAAAAGTCGTCCCTTTATCCTATCTAATCATACTTTTGAGGCGCCTCAAAAGTCGTCCCTTTATCCTATCTAATCATACTTTTGAGGCGCCTCAAAAGTCGTCCCTTTATCCTATCTAATCATACTTTTGAGGCGCCTCAAAAGTCGTCCCACCATTCTTCTTCTGCTCACATGGTTTTGCCCTTTCCCGTCTCTTTCTTCCCCTAGCATTGCAAGGCCACGTATATTTTTGAGGCGCCTCAAGAATAGACTCCTCATTCTTCCCCTTGCAAGGCCACGTCCCCCCCACCCCCCTCTCCACCCCCCTCCGTTTCTCTCTTCCTCGTGTCCTCTCCAGAGTCCAGACCCCACGGATCGTGTTTATTGTGGGAGGCCAGTCCAGTCGAGGAGCAGGGCATGTTCCAGCCATGATATGCTGCTGCTTGTCCTCCTCTCCTCTCCCCCTTTTCTAACCTGCAACCCTTCCCCCCCATCTCCCCCCCCCATCTCCCCCCCCATCTCCCCCATCTCCCCCCCCATCTCCCCTCCCATCTCCCCTCCCATCTCCCCCCCCCCTCCCCCCCTTCTCTCCAAACACATCCAGAATCTCCGGGTGGTGTCGATCGTGGGAGGCCAGTCCATCGAGGAGCAGGGTTTTAAGCTGCGGCAGGTGGGTTGAGGTCTCAAATCCGTCTTTCTTCTCCCTCTTGGGCGTTTCCACCACACCACGGTAGTGTAGTCTGCATGGTGTGAGAGTGCGATTTGTAGAAATGCCTCTGACGTCTTGACACCCGCTCCCTGTGTGTATTACTCAAGTGTTTTACTCCTTCTTAATGTTCTGCCCCCCCCTCTCCCCTCCCCCCCAACCCCACCCCTCCCCTCCCTTTCTGCGCACGTGCAGGGCTGTGAGATTGTGATTGCCACGCCTGGTCAACTGCTGGACTGCTTTGAGCGGCGGTATGCAATGCTAAATCAGTGCAACACACTCACACAGCCCCTGCTTGTCGTCCTTTCGCCCTGCTCCCTTTCTGCGCACTTGCAGGGCTGTGAGATTGTGATTGCCACGCCTGGTCGGCTTTTGGATTGTCTGGAGCGGCGGTACGCGGTGCTGAACCAGTGCAACTATGTGGTGCTGGACGAAGCAGATCGCATGATAGACATGGGGTTCGAACCTCAGGTGTGTCATGAGAGATTCTTGGCTTGAGCTTACCCCCACTCACCCACATGGCGGTATGCGGTGCTGAACCAGTGCAACTACGTGGTGCTGGACGAGGCCGATCGCATGATAGACATGGGCTTTGAGCCGCAGGTAGGCATGAGAGGTGTGCGTCCCCTAGTGACCACATCTACCCTCACTTACACAGGTATCAACGAGCTGGATCAATGCAGCTGGACCCGCTCTGTACATACCCTACCCACGGGCTGTTTAGCTCCATCAGCTATGCTGCATCAGCTCTGTGCATACTCTATAGATGGTCTCCTCAGCTTTGCTACTTTTGAGGCGCCTCAAAAATAGACTCCTCATGCATCAGCTCTGTACATACTCTATAGATGGTCTTTTCTCCTCATCTTTGCTACATGAAATGCCTTCCCAGCTTCTTTCCTCCCGCCTTCCCCCCTCTCGTTCTTCGTGCACAGGACACAGGTGACTTTTGAGTCGACTCAAAAGTCACCTCTTTGTGCACAGGTCACAGGTGTGCCTGAAGCATTGTCCTCCTCGTTCCTCAAGCCAAACAGGGGGGATGCAAGGCTGGACGCCTCCAGTCTGACTACTCTCCTCCCCCCTTCCCTAACCCCCCTCCCCGCAAATCCCCCTTCTCGCTGCCCCCTCCCGTGTACGCAGGTCACAGGTGTGCTGGAGGCCATGCCTTCGTCGTTCCTCAAGCCCGAGAGCGAGGATGCTGAGCTGGACGCCTCCCGGATCTACCGAGTCACCTACATGTTCTCCGCCACCATGCCCGCCAGCGTGGAGCGCCTAGCACGGAAATATCTGCGCAACCCTGTGGTGGTATGTGCCCTGTGTATGCTGTCTACTGCTTGCTCCCTTACCGAGTCACCTACATGTTTTCCGCCACCAGCGTGGAGAGGCTAGCACGGAAATACCTGCGCAACCCCGTGGTGGTACGTGCCTTCCTTCCGCACTTCTCTATCCACATGCTTCCTGTTCTGCCTTCTGCTTGCCCCCTCGTCTCCCCTTCCGACCGAGTCACCTACATATTCTCCGCCACCATGCCCGCCAGCATGGAACGCCTGGCCAGCAAATACTTGCGCAACCCCATCGTGGTGCGTGCCTCGTATGCTGACTACTGCTAGACACATAGGGCCCAGTCTGTACCAGGTCACCTACATGTTCTCCGCCACCATGCCCGCTAGTGTGGTGTGGAACGCCTGGCCAGGAAATACCTGTGCAACCCCATCGTGGTGCGTGCCTCGCATGCTGACTACTGCTAGACACATAGGGCCCAGTCTGTACCAGGTCACCTACATGTTTCCTGCCACCATGCCCGCTAGTGTGGAATGCCTGGCGAGGAAATCCCTGCGCAACCCCATGGTGGTGCGTGCCTCGTATGCTGACTACTGCTAGACACATAGGGCCCAGTCTGTACCAGGTCACCTACATGCTCTCTGCCACCATGCCGGCTGGTGTGGAACGCCTGGCCAGGAAATACCTGTGCAAACCCGTCGTGGTGCATGCCTCGCATGCTGTCTGTCTACTGCCTGCCCCCTTTGCTGTTGACATGACCCCTGTGCTGCAAGCTGCCTGCCTCCTCTCCTCTTCTCGCCTCCCGTCTGTACCGAGTGACCTACATGCTCTCTGCCACCATGCCCGCCAGTGTGTTGAGGCTAGCGAGGAAATGCATGCACAACCCTGTCGTGGCACGTGCCTTTTTTTTCCCTCCCTGTCACGTTCCCTTCCGCCCCTTCATTGTCCGCATGACCAAGGTGCAAAAAAACGGTTTCCGTATGAAACGGTCCGTTTCATACGATGGTTTTATACGGCAGATTTGTGTAAATTCTGCCGTTTTTTTGTTAGACTTTTTTTTTTTTTACACTTCATTAAAAAACGCGGGGAAACTAAGGGCCTGGTGGCGGCGACTTCCTACACGCATCTAAGACATTATCGTCCCCCTCCTAGCTATCATAGTCCTCCTCCTGGTCGCGCTCAACTGTGTGCTCTCCTCCTCCTTCCCCTCCTAGTCCTCCTCCTAGTCCTCCGCCTCGTCCTATTCCTCCTCCTCCTCCACCTCCTCGTCCTACTCCTCCTCGTCCTTCTCCTCCTCTGCCTCGTCATCATCGTCATCCTCCTCCTCCTCCTCCCCACTATCTCCGTCGCTGCAATCCCATGGGTCTTCCCCCCCAGCCGTCTTGACAGCTCCGTCGTCAGGTCCACCGCCATCGCTGTCGCACTCCGCCTCCGCCTCCTCCTCCTCCTCCTCCTCCTCCTCCTCCTCCTCCTCCTCCTCCTCCTCCTCCTCCTCCTCCTCCTCCTCCTCCTCCTCCTCCTCCTCCTCCTCCTCCATTACCTTTTCCTTGCCCTTTCGGGACCCGCTGGCCTTCTTCGCCCTCTTCTTCTCTCGGGCCTTGAGGGCCATCTTCTTCCCCTTCGCGCCGATGCTACCAAACGACTCCCAATCGATGGTACACTGCCCCTCGTCCGCATCCCCTCCCTCTTCGTCTGCCTCGGGTTCCTCAGCCGTGGGCGGAGGGATGGCGCAGCCCTCCTTCAGGCTGCCATCGCTTAGATCGCTATACAGCTTCGTGCGAGCCGCCACTTTCTCATCGAAAGCTGCACGCGCGCGCCTGCTGAACACGACGAATGTCACGTCAGTCATGGTCGTGGCATTGAGGCGGTTACGGTCGCGGCGCTGGACACGAGCCAGCGCGGACCAGTAGCGCTCCACTTCGGACGAAGTCGCTGACTGTGACAGCACCATAACAGCCAGCTCCTGCAGAGCACCGACCTCCCCTACGTACATCCACCACCACTCCGCGTCGCTCAACCGACCGGACTCCACAAGGGTCGTGGCTGCCCATCGGGCATCCACGGCCCCAAGGTGGCCTTCGCCCTTGTGGAAGGACGCCAACTGGGCGGCAATCATCGTGCGTCGCTGCATGTCACCGCCCCTGGCTTGAATGACAGCATCCGCACCGCTCCTGATCTCAGGGTCGTTGCGCACCTCGCCCACAAACTGGTTGCGCGGGCTGAGGAGCCATCCGAAGGCGTGGAGTGGGTTGTGAAGCTGCCCATCCCAACGCCTCGCGATGATCTTCTTCACGACCGCCAGGAAGCCGGCCTTATCCTTGGCGTCAAGTAGCGGCGTCTGCTTGACAAAAAAGGTTGGCTGCACGGGGCATGCAGGGGACAGAATGACAGTGAGTGGGGGCTCGGCATGCTAGGGTCGCAGAACATAAGGCACGGTGCACGGTGCATAAGGCTGGAAACGTGGACGACAGCCTCGTTAGGCTTTACGGTCGCCTCCAGCATGAGGCCATAGATCTGGCCCATGATGGTGGCGCGCTTATCCACGGCCCTCAGGACTCCGTAGACCGGCGTCATGAGCTTCAGGACCGCGGCAACGGATTCCCAAAACGCGTCCTCCAAAAGGAGAGCGCGCACCGCCTTCCCCTCATCCATCCTTGCAACGGCAACCTCCTCCCACTGCTCCGAGATAACCATCTCCCGCAGTTGCCTCTTGACTTCGAGGAAGCGGGTGATCATGATCACCTGCGTCCCGAAGCGTGTGGCACCCGGGCGAGCCAACTCCAGCTACGAGAACACTTCACGGAAGAGAACCACGGCTGACGCGCTCCCCTTGACCATCATGACCACACGATGCACTTGGTTTAGGACCCGACGCACGACTGGGATAGCTCCAAGGTCGTGGAGCATGAGGTCCAGCACATGTGCGGCGCAGTTCCTGAAGAACACCTGGGGGTACTCGTCCGCCAACAACTGCGCCGCCCGCTTGTTGTTGGACGCGTTGTCCATAACCACTTGGACGACGAGACGGTCGCCAACCTTGCAGATGGCGCGGCGGATATGACCCGCTAGATACGGGCCGGTCTTCTTCGCGGTCTTCGAGTCGACGATGTCGACGACGACGGGCGCGGTGTCATTTTGGGCAATGACGCAGACCATGCCACGGCTCTTAATGCAGGACCATCCGTCGACCGAGAGCGAGCAGCCGCTGGTGCGCCACGTGTCTTTTAAGGGCTGCACGAGCTCCTCGGAGTCGACCTTGAGCTGGGCGAGCAAGGGACCAGAGACCTTGTACGCGGATGGCAAGGTATACTGCTTCCCGAAGGCCGTCGCCGCATTAACAAAGGCCTGCATTGCTGGCGACTGTGACACCCTAAACGCCAAGTCATTCTCGGCGATGGCGGTCGCCCACAGGCGGTCAAGGTGATGACGCTTCGCAATGTCAGTCATTTCGCGAATGTCCTACTGCCGCGAACGCCGGACCGGGGCCGGCTCCGATGCCTCCTCGGACGTCGATCCAAGGATGGACTCTTCGGCGGTGGAAGAACGCGTTTCTTCGCTGCCCGCGCGCAGCTGCTTCGTGAATTCCGAAGCACACGGCGCGACATTCTTCAGCTTGGTGGAAGGCGTGCCGTAAATATGATGCCCGATTCTAGTCGCGTTGGGCGTGACAGGTTGGTCGGAATGGAGGCAAACGGCACTAGTAACTACGCCATTCGGGCCCGTCACCTTCTTGACGTGCTCCCAAACGGAGGACGTCGGGCGAGGCATGACGAAAATGCGTACACTAAAGCGTTCTGTGAGGGCGAGTGCTTGGACAAAGAAGAACTAGTTCTGCTGACGGGATAGGGTTGAAGCATGCTTACCTTGTTGATTGTGCTCCGTACTTGTACCTTTACTTTGCTGTGTGCTGAACCCTGAATTCGTTGAGACGGATGGAGAAAGGGATGCGTTGATTGGTTGGGCCTTCAAACGCAAATTGCGCGAATTCGCGTCGCTATGCGCGGTCGCCAGTGTCAGCATGCTGCGAAAAAAGCTAACGACTATTGCGAAACGGGTTTCCAATCCGTTTTGCATCGCTAAATGCGTGTAAATTCGCGGCTCGAGAAAGTGTCGGAATGCGGCTCGGCAAGAACCCCAACGTCCGAGTCGGCAGTCGATTCTGACACACTCCACGTGCTCACGTGGTTCGTTATAAAGAGCACCACCGCTTTACATGACGGTAAGAAAAAAACGACCGTATAAAACGACCGTTTTTTTGTACCACTCGAAAACACCACTTTCAGCCATTTTAATCGTATTAAACGACCGTTTAATACAATCCCGTTTTAAACGGTAATTTTTTTAAAAAAAACGCCGTTTTTTTGCACCTTGCGCATGACCCCCATGCTCCATATGCTGCAGCCTGCTGCCTGCTACTTGCATCCTCTCCGCGCCTCCCATCTGTATCGAGTAACCTCCACATGTTCTCTGCCACCATCGCCCTCTGCCGACCAGTGTTGAACTCCCTCGCTCCGCACTTATTCCCACCTCCAGGTGACCATTGGCACGGAGGGGAGGCCATTGAGCTCACCGCTCTGGATATCTCATTGGTCAATGGCCTCTGAGTCTCTTCCTTCTGCCCCCCCTCTCTTCCCGTGGATGCCCCCTTCGCTTCGCCAGAAGGTGACCGTCGGCACAGCAGGGGAAGCCACAGAGAGCTCATTACTCAAAACGTGTACATGGTGATTTACTGGGAGTAGATCTCACGCGTGTAGCGCAACCGCCCTCTCTCCCTCCCACTAGTTCCCCAGCTGTTTCTCCCTCCCTCTCTCCCTTCCTTGCCAGAACCACCTACTTGCAGGTGACCATTGGCACTGCGGGCAAGGCGACAGAGCTCATTGCTCAAGCGTGTTCATGGTGATAAAGGACTAGGAGAAGATCTCACGGCTGCACCTCGTCTTTCTTTCCTTCCCTCGCTCTTCCCCCTGTATGCTCCCCCACCTGCAGGTGACCATCGGCACAGCAGGGAAGGCAACGGAGCTCATTACTCAGAATGTCTTTATGGTGAAGGACTCGGAGAAGATCTCACGGCTGCAGCGCATTCTGGAGGGCGTTGGGGAGGATCGGACGGTCATCGTCTTCGTTAACACCAAGAAGACAGCTGACGGGGTTGCCAAGCAGGTGGGGGGAGTGGGGGGGGGAGGTCGGAGGGTGGTGGGTGGGTGGGTAAGGATGTTCGGGTAGGATCGGACGGTCATTGTCTTCGTCAACACCAAGAAAACGGCTGGCGGCGTTGCCAAGCAGGTGGGGTTAGGATGGGTGGGGGGAGGCCGGGGCAGGAGCGGAGTGGGCTAATCCAAAGGGGTGGTGGAGGAAAGGACGGTCATCCTTTTGGTTAACACCAAGAAGACAACTGACGGGGTTGCCAACCAGGTGGGGAGAGTGTGGGGAGAGGTCAGGGGGTGATGGGAGGGTGGGAGGGATGCTCGGGAGGATCGAACGGTCATTGTTTTCGTTAACCCCAAGGCGATGGCTAGTGGTACAGGAAAGCGTGGTGGCCCGGGGAACATAGTGGCCCGGGGAAGCGTGGTGTCCCGGGGGAGGGTAGTGTCCCGGGGAAGGATAGTGTCCAGGAGAAGGCTAGTGGTCTGGGGAAGGGTAGTGTCCCGGGGAAGGGTGTTGTCAAATATGTATATATACAACATGCATGCCTAGATTAGGAGGTGTAGTCATAATCTTTATGGGGGAGTTGTTGGTTGGGTTGACCAACCAACAATTGGGTTGGTCAAGATTGGATTTGGTCCTAGACATTTGGTTGGCACTATTCCAACCAAATGGTCCTAAGAACCAACCAATCACCGAGCACCAAACTTTGTGGTTGCTCTCCTTCCAAGCAACCTCTCCCATTGGTCCACATTGTGACCAATCGGAGGGCACCACACTTTGTGGTTGCTTGCCCTCCAAGCAACCGCTCCCATTGGTCCACTTTATGGCCAATAGGAGAGCTTCCCTTCCAACTCTTCCTTGCTCCTTGTTTTGTACAATAGAGCCTCTTGGCTCCCTACTCGACACACACTTTTCTCCTCAAAGCTAGTTCCTTCATAGGGTAGTGTCCTGGGGAAGGGTAGTGTCCCGGGGAGGGGTAGTGTCCAGGAGAAGGGTAGTGGTCCGGGGAAGGGTAGTGTCCCGGGGAAGGGTAGTGTTTCGGGCAAGCTTCAATTCTTCCGTTTGTCAGCAACAAGATCGCTAATTCTTCTGTTTCCTTCTTTTTTCGTGTTGTATGGGTTGGTGCCGGATGGGGTTCCCTTGCCTGCTGATAGACAGGATGGGGTTCAACGTGACCACGCTGCACGTTGGGCTTTTGAACCCAAAACGTTGCCAGAGAGATTGATCTTCTTCTGTTCTGCTTGTGGTCCCATGCCGGCAGAGTGACAGGGTGGGGTTCAACGTGAACCCCGCTGCACGGAGACAAGATGCAGGAGCAGAGGGAGGTCAGCCTAAAGTGGCTTGTGAATCCAAGAGACCTCATTAACAAGTGTTCTTGTGGTTGTGCTTGTGCTTTTGCTTGTGCTTGTGCTTGTGCTTGTGCTTGTGCTTGTGCCTGTGCCTGTGCCTTTGGTTTGTATGCACCCCCTGCCTGCAGTTTGACAGGATGGGGTTCAACGTGACCACGCTGCACGGAGGCAAGACGATGCAAGATGCAGGAGCAGAGGGAGGTCAGGCTGGAGGGCTTCTGGTCCCCAACAGGATTGCTTGGTCCATCTTCTCCCTTGCCTTGCCTGTGTTTGTGTCTGTGTTTTTGCCAATGCCTGCAGATCGACCGCATGGGGTTCAATGTGACCACGCTGCACGGAGGCAAGACGCAGGAGCAGCGCGAGGTCAGCCTGGAGGGCTTTCGAACGAAGAAGTTCAACGTGCTTGTAGCCACTGACGTGGCGGGGCGTGGTATCGACATCCCGGTGAGCAGTGGTTGGCAAAGAGAGCTGAGAGAGTGGCTGAATTTTGCAGGGTGTCTTTGAGAATTCTCAAAAACACCCTGCAGTACCAAGGAAGGAGTTCAAGAGATTGAGTGCCGGACAAGCAAGCGAGTCTTTACTGGTTGTTTGGTGGTCACACAGTATAGGGGAAAGGAGGGAGGGAGGGTGGAAGGGAGGGTGGGAGGGAGGGTGGGAGGGAGGGTGGGAGGGAGGGAGGGAGGGAGGTTTCTTGCTGATTCATTTGTTTGCAATCCCTGCCCTCGTTTCCCCTCCAATCAGGACGTGGCACATGTCATCAACTTCGACATGCCTGGGAACATCGAGATGTACACACATCGCATCGGTATGGACCTCTTCCCTTCTCGTTCTCTCCTCTTATCTCCATCCACTGACTCGTCGAGAAACCTGTTTCCACCTCTTTTTTCCAGCCCATTTTTCGGTTCCCATCTGTCCACTCTTCTTGTTGTGTCATCAGTTGATGCACCTGATGGTCCGGTTGAGCTTCTCTCCTCTTGCCGTTCACAGCTCTCCAACCCCGCAGAAGTTTCAGACCCCCCTCTCCTCCACGTCCCCTTCTTCCCCCCCTCTCTCCACCCTCTCCTTCCTCCCCCTTCCACCCCTCCCATTGTCAACCTTCTTCCCTGCTTCAGGTCGCACGGGGCGTGCGGGCAAGACTGGAGTGGCCACCACCTTCCTCACTCTGCACGACAGCGAGCTCTTCTACGATCTCAAACAGGTCTCCCCTCGCTCGCTCCTGTGTGTTCTCTCCATTCGCTTTTGCACACACGCACACACGCGTGCACCCATCTACACACAGCCACACCGCCCTCACTCCGCACGACAGCAAGCTCTTCTAGGACCTCAAACAGGTCTCCCTCCCCTCGCTCCATCCCTCTCATGTGTTCGCAACATTCGCTCTTGCAAGCACGCACGCATGCACACACATGCACACACACATGCACACACACATGCACACACACATGCACACACACATGCACACACACATGCACACACGCATGCACACACATGCACACACACATGCACACACAAATGCACACACACATGCACACACACATGCACACACACATGCACACACACATGCACACACGCATGCACACACACATGCACACACACACGCACACACACATGCACACACACACGCACACATCTACACACGGCCACACCTTCCTCACTCTGCACAACAGCGAACTCTTCTACGACCTCCCCCGCCCCTCACCACCCCCCCTCTCTCTCTCTCTGCCACTCCCCCTGCCCCTCTGTCTCGCACACATTCACATGCACGCCCTCTCGTCCACACTGCAAAGCGCCCCCCTCTTGCATTTTTGCTTTTCAATTTCTCTAACTGAATCTCTCGTGTCCTTCTTTCTGGCCGCTCAGCTTACAGCCTCTCCAATCGTGCTCCTTTCTCTCATCCTCCATAGTCTTACCCTCCTTTCTCCCCTTCCCACCTTTCTTCTCCACTTGTGATCCATGTGTGTGGCCCTTTTAAATTCATACTTCCTGTCGAACGTCAACCAATCGCAGATGCTTACCCAGAGCGGCTGTGTTGTTCCTCCTGAGCTTGCTCGGCACGAAGCCGCCAAGTTCAAACCAGGTGAGCCATGATTTGAACCTTGCCTTTTTTGTGCTCTGTACTCTCTTCTGGTGATTTTTAGAGTGCCTGTTTAAAGTCTCCACTAATATCTCTTACTGTGTTTTATGGATTCCCTCCATCATGGTCCTCTTTTCTCCTGTAGGGTCCATTCCTGACAGACCCCGTCGTAACGAGCAGCTTTTCACACATTGAGGAGGTTCCCATGTCAAGGCTTTCCAAGTGGCAAGTGGTTGAAAGTATTATTGGCATGCCTCTGGAGATTCTACTAGATTGTTTTGACCTTGCTAAGTCTAAGATGGAATACATAACACGATCCTCAATGGTTATACCTGGCAGTGGGTCTGCTAATACAGGAATTGGCTGTTCAAAATAGGACGTTTCTTTTGGTGTTGGACTGCTGACTCATTTCTCGTCATCCGTTTCCAAGCGCACATTCTCCCTACAGTGATTCACCCGGCGACATTTCCCAACTTTCCGTGACTTCTGCCCGTCGCAAGCGTTTACCCAGACCAAACCACAGAATCGAAAACGTTCACACGACTGGATTTTCCCGTCACACGATAAGTACACAAGTGTTATCAGCTGCCCCAGGACACATGGATGCTCCTTTCCCGCTGTTTTCCACCTTCTCGGGCACTGTTCGATTTGACTTGGCGGCCCGGAAAAAGGGTTTGATCGAGCCCTTTGCTTTTGAACAGGGCCTTGGGGAATCTTCCCCCTCGAGATTGTCTTGCCTCGCGTGACCACAACCCATCATCGCCACGTCAGCCTCGGAAAGCAGAGCACGCTGTCAGCAGTGACGCAATGTTCCAGGGCCAGGACGCCACAGAGCGTGACAACGCGGTGAATCACGGTATAGAGCTTTTCTCAACGTTAATCTTTGGTGCAGTGCGTCATGGAGGCCACCTCCCTTACCCACCCAACCGACCATGCAGCTGTTGAACGAAGGAACCCTAAAACATATAACTTTCCATGTCCTAACTTTCTTGACCTCCGTCTCTTTCGCGCCACAGCCCCTTCAGCCTTCACAAGCGACCTACCTTATGCATTTCTGCAGTAGTGCGTTTTTGTTATCTTATACTCGCCGTTCGACACGATAGCTTGAGTGTGCTCAGTTTAGTCGTAGTAGTCTGGAGCTTCAGGTATTTGAAGGACGGCTTTAATTTATTCGCTGTTCGCTGTCTAAGACGTGTCGCCAACAGCATCAGCACTAGTTGAACCGGGTTACGTTGTTACCACTTCGTTCCCTTCGCCGTTCTTCGACCAGCGGCATGGACATCGCGGGCGTGAGACATTGACCCCCCCTCGACTGTCTTCACAGGTACCTACCCGTGTTGAATCGTTGCTTTCCTTATCTAATCCTCGAAATGCTACCTTTGAGAAATACAAACACGACGATTAAAAGTACGTCGAGGGAATACGACGAATGAGAACCGAACAGGTATTTCAGCCTATTCTTCTTCCCCCTTAGGTGGCTCTCGTCTCTCCGTCCCTCGTCCCTCCTTTTGTTGGCATATTCTGCTTTTTGTTCTATAACGAGCCCTTACCCCATGCCGAGGTTGTCCTAACCGTATCTCTGTGTAGCTGCATTGCATGGTCCAATTTGCTGTCGCATGGCCCAATTCTGATGTCGCATGGTCCACTCCTGCTGTCGCATGGTCCAATTTTGCTGTCGCATGGCCCGCTCCTGCTGTCGCATGGTCTACGCCAGCTGTCGCATAATCCGCTCCTGCTGTCGCTTGGTCCAATGCTACTGTCGCATGGCCCACTGCTCTGGCGCATCCGATTTGGATGTGCGAAATGTCAGCTGCATTTGCGGCCCTCTTACCGCCTCGTGTCCCCTTGCTGCCTCGTGTCCCCTTGCTGCCTCGTGTCCCCTTGCTGCCTCGTGTCCTTTTGCTGCCTCGTGTCCGCTTAGTTCTATCCCGTCAATTGACGTGCGGCCCTTCCGCCCGCGATTCCCTTCACTCGGCGTGTCACCCCTTCCGCATTGTTTCAGCTCCCCCGACTGAACTTCTCTATCTTCACGGTTCACTCCTCGGTTCCTTCTTTCCCTCCTCTTCTCTCCTCTCCCCTCTCCCCTCTCCCCTCCTTCCCTCCTCTCCCCTCTCCCCTCCTTCCCTCATCTCCCCTCCTCTCTACTGCCCTCTTCCGCCCTCTCCCTTCCTCCTCGCACCTCATCTCACCCTGCCTGCTAAATTCTTCCTCTTAACCGCATTCCCTCCTCTCGCCTCCTCCCACCTCTCTGCGCCTTTCTCCCTCTCGCCTCCTCCCACCGCTCTTCTCCTTTCCTCCTCTCACCTCCTTCCATCATCTCCCCCCTCCCTTTTCTCCCCTTTCCCCCCCCTCCCCCCCCCCCTTCCTCCCCCCGTTCGGGGTCGTGATTGAGCCGCTTCTGTGTCTTGTGATGGTTTTCCTATCCACAATTTTTTGTGGCCCCCAATGCACTTCCTCATAAATTGCCCTCTGGACGCATTTTGCGTCCTCCTCATCCCCTCCTCAGCAGCACCGTGTGATTCTTTTTCTAGTGAATATTCTCCCCACGCCACCTTCCATTCCCCTACCGTCCTTCCCCCATGTGACCATGTCTGTTGTTTCCGTTTCATCTCATCGCTCTCATTTTCCCGTATGCTCTCTTCCATCCTTACCTTGCTCTTAAGCTTTTTTTCTTTCCCTTTTTTTCCCTCGTCTCTCCCTCAATAGATGGCCTCAACCAACCTCGGCTTACTGCTGTCCAGCTTCATTCTCCTATAAACCGCCTTCCCAGCCATCCACGCAGCCTATAAGCCGTCTCCTTAGCCACTCAAGCAGCACGACAAACCTTTCGAGCGGCACTGTCCTGCATTGCTTCTGCATCACCATCTCGTCTCCCACCATCACTCTCCCTCACCTTGCTCTACCCACTATTTCCTCTGCCCGTTCAGCTGCCCGCCGTCTTCCCTCGAGCGACCCGCCCCCTCTCCGCCCGCCCCTCTCTTCCCCCCCTCGCACTACCACCGCCATGGGGTGTGCTCTGAGCGTGTCAGCCGACGACAAAAAAGGCAAGGATGCCAAAAACGGAAACTCTCCTGCCAAGCCTGGCATTCCAGCAGTGACTTTCACCCCTATTGACCGCTCCATGCCCCCTATAGTATCTGGGGAGGTGCTCTCAATGCCGCAGACCAGAAAACCCATGGATGCGATTTATGAACCCAAGGAGGGGTAGGTGAGGTTGTTTACTGCGGAACTGGAGTGGCATATTTTACAGTGCATTTCGGAGGGACCTCTCACTGCAGCAGACCGGATAGCTCGTGGAGGCGATTATGAGCCCAAGGAGGGGTGAGGCGCACGTGATTGTAAGGTGGAGAGTCAGGGCTCTCTGGATGCCAGGCCAGGGATCTGGTAAGGAAGCTTTGTGTTTATGGGTGGAACATTTGGTTTTGGCTGGAACAAGTAGTGTTCTATTGACAAAATACCAGGAGTGCTTTTTAGGATTGTAGAAATATGCTTGCTAGTACTCTGCCTTCATTGCGCGCTGCTGGCAGCAAAGATGGGCTAGTTTCTGCTAGGGAGAGGCGGTGTAGGAGCCTGAATGGCTTGAGATTGTTGTAGTTTGTTAGTAGTGTAGTCGGTGAGGAGCCGGAGCAATTTGCATGTTGCTGAATTGCTTGATATTTACATTTTACTGCTTATACCAGTCCAAGGACAAATAGGACTAGGCAAACAGGACTAGGCTAAGCGTACCCAAATGATGTGGAGGACAAGGTTAGGTGAGGGGTGCTGAAACTGTAGAGTATGTGATGCCATAGGAAATGGCCTGCTCTTATGGCGAACAGGTACAACAGGAAGTACAGAATCAATCAAGATTGAGGTCCATAAATATACATCATAGCATTACAATAACCCCACAGCGATGTTGGTAATTACAGAATCACTGAGACACCTGGGAGGCTTGCAGGGTCAAAAGCTTATTCCATGCCCGTTTAGCAGCACTTGCTTTGGCACGCTTTGCAAGTACAACAGGCTTGAGCAGCTTCATCAGGCGATCGGCTTCCTTGGCTGTCCGTTCTCCCTTGCCCTTGCCATACCTCTCCTCCATCTCCTCCACACTTCCTCTCACCTCTGCAGCCTTCTTTGCTGCCTTCTCTCTTTCCGCCATGGCGTCCTGCAACCCGTGCGTTCTCTCCAAAACCAGCGCCTCATCTCGCCTCATCCACCGTCTCATCTCTTCCCACACCCTCTCCGCTTGAGCCTTCACCAGCTCTGCCTCCACTCGCTGCATCCGTGCTCTCTGGCTTCTGGTCTTCACCTCGGCGGCCATGGCTCGAGTCAGAGACTCATCGGATTCCTGCAGAATCTTCTTCTGCTCTTCCGCCAACCACGCAGTTTCCTCTGCCAAAACATTCGCCTGCTCAAGGTCCTTCTCGGCTCCCTTCACCTGGAATTCCGCAAACTCCAGGTCGCTCTCCGCATTCTCCAGCTCCTCCCGCCTCCTCCTGAGCAGCTCTAAAACGCCTGACTTCCGAGCCTGAGCCACGGCAGATTTCCAAGCCTCGATTTCGGCTCGGAGAGTGTTCAGCAGAGCCTGGTCAACAGCCTCCTCTGCATCTGCTGCAGCAAGCCCTTCCATGGCTTCCAACCTTTTTCTCGACGACTCCTCCCTCTGCTGCATCAGCATCTTCTCAGCTTCGCGCTCGTTCTCAAGATCCGTCAGGTCGGGACCGGAATCCATTTCTTCAAAAAAGGCGCTGCCTCTGTTGCTGTCTTTTCTGCTGCCATGTGCTGCTGCTCCTGCGCTCCACATGGTGTGATGTCCCGGGCCACCATGGTGCTGTACTTCGAGCTTCAACTTGGACATCAGTGAAGACGGCTTACTGGCATCCGCTGCCACCTGACGGGATGGAAGATTCGAGAACATCGAGAACAACGACTTGTTTTGCTCTCGGCTCGTTTCGGACGGGTCTTCAACAATTTTAAGGACGTCCGCCTCAACCCGAGGGGAAACCCCCCTTGAGGAAGCCATGGCGCGTTGCCACGCTGTTGCATACTCCTGCATACCTTCATGGGCCTTCTTCTCAGCTTCAGCCAGCTGCTGAAGGCTCTGCTTCATGGCTTTCGCCAGCTCGGCTCGATAAGCCATTGCGACGCTGTACGACTCGACTTTCTCCCGCTCTCGCATGGCCTTTCGCGAGATTCTGGTAATCAGCCGCTCCGCTTCGAGTTTCGCCTCTCCGGCTGCCACCAGCGCGAGCCGAGCCTCGTCGGACTCGACCCCCCGCGAGTTACGCTGCTTGTACATCCGCCTCGCGGTTTCGTCCACGAGAGAAGAAAGCTCGTTAAGAACCTTCCGCTGCTCTTCGAGTCGCGCTGACGTTATCTTGAGCTTGTCCCGCGCGTGCAGCGCATCCTGAATCCTCGCGTTGGCGGCGGCGACGCTGTCGTTGAGCGACCGCAACTCACGGAGAAGCACCAGCGCGTGCCGCCTCGCTTCCACGGCCCTCGCTTTCCGCGCGACCAGATCCGACAGCTCAGCCGCGGAGATAGTAATGTTAGTAGCATCGGTATTGTGTTCTGGAGATTCGTTCGCCGGGGACGAAACTTGTCCGGGGAGAGACGCCGCGGATGCAGATGCAACGAGGAAAGCCGCGGCGATGGAGACGGCGAACAGCAGAATTGTAAATGGAAGGCTCTCGACGCTATTTGACGAAGGTTTCCGGCGAATTGGTAACGCCATCGTGAAGTAGTACGTGGAGTCTAAAGCAGTTACGCGCACGTAGTAAGTCTGTGTGAAAAGCTGGTGCTAGACATACGGTCACATTCAGACTGAGCCTGTTGCATGGCGTCAGGAAAACCGAGCGGAATACGGTACTAGTACTCGACCGGTAGCACCAACTTGGTAGCGTGTGGAATGCTGGTGGAAGCATTGCGCGTTTCGATAATGAAAGCGGTTCCTCTGCATCAGGGAAAGGCTCGATCGGGCTCGCGAAAGACCGTTGTCAGTCCGGGTGAAACCACCATGGTTCTCACTGTGACTCAGCGCCAAGAAATTCGGGAATGTTCGGAGCGGTCCGAACGTGGAGAATGTCACGTCTTCCCTCGTTTCCTGCACGCCTGCCAGGCCGACGCGGATGACGTGTCGGCCGGTGTTATCATGGCTAGCCGACAAAGTGGGATGCCGTCCGTCGGGGCGGTTTGAGCGCTTGACACTATGGCGAACCATTGCAAGTGGGCTGCGGCCATGGGGCTGTTCAAGGCGGGATCTGACGAATCCTGGTGGCTACTGGGGGATGGCTTGCCTGGCGACACAGTGGAATGCGGTGCGGACCAGGACGTTGCTCGTGCAGGTTGTACAGGGGAGAGAGGAAGGTTCCATAGCGCTGCTACATCGGTGATCCTCCATTTGTTGTCACTCATTGTTGTTGCTCTATGGCTGTTTCTCCATTGGTGTTTCTTCAGATGTGGGTTGGAGACAAAAAAAAGCAGAGGAGCCAGCCAGACAGACGTGGCTACAGAGCCCAAACTTCCCTAGAAAATTGCAGTAATCTGACCACAGTACCCTGAAAAAATATCTTGGTCGGTGAGTATACAAAGTCGCACGTTGCTTCGGGAAGGTTGTGTCTGAGGAAAGGTGAGAGTGGAAAAGTGGTGGAAGTATGGAAACCAGTGGGTGGAGAGTGGGATTTCTCGAAAGGGAGTGAAACGACACCCTCCATGTTCCGGCGTTGCGCGAGGGACTTTTAGGGGGGGTGTTTGATTGGGGGAACTGGCTGTCAGGGAGACTTCACTTTCAAACCCCAGTTGGCACCACCGCTGGGTAATAAGTGGTAGCTGGAGAGAGTCGCAGCCTGGAGGGTACAACTGTCTGGATTTTGACGCTTAAATATCAAGCTTTGCCAGTTGGTGGGGTGGAGAGCAGTAAGGCATGGGCTGTCGAATCATACCTGGATTTTAGAGAACATGAACTCTTGGGGAGGGTCACTTGCGTGGGAGAAACTCGCTGTAGCCTCGTCAGCGGTGCTGAACACACATGATTGGCGGGGTAATGCAGTTTTCGCGTGGTACCGTCTCGAGTCCACACACCTGACCAAGGGCATTTGCTAGTAGAATTGCTCATTCCCTGCAAAGAGGGAACTTCCACGTGGCAGAATGATGGATTGTTGTGTGAAAATGACGTGCCCTGGGAAACTTTGCATAGAAATCTCCAGCGAACAGCGTCAGCAACCTGCTCTCGGAAATACATATCTGGAAACTCGAGAGATAACCGCCGGTTGCAAGTACATTGTAGAATGGTATGCTATATTGTCTGGGGAATATGGTTGCATAGCAACCCTATAGATTTGGTATGATATTTTGGGGCACGGGTTTTTTAGATCGTCAATTTTTTTCCAGATTAAATTACCTATGCAGTACAGATTGCCTATAACACCCAAAATATCATTCTAGTTTTCGTTTTTACCGTAATACCGTATTAGTTGTCTAAGCAATCCTTGTTAGATTGTCGAGAGAATGATCAACTAAGGGAAAATGTCGAGGGTTACAAAGGTAGGATTGTACCCTCTAAGAACTGACCTAACTAAGGCTATAACAAATATAAAGTAGCTAGCCTATATTATTATATTTGTTGATACACCCCCTAGCCGAGATAGTGACAGTTCATAACAAAGAAAAGTACACCAGGGCAGTGTCACGATAGGCTAGGTAGCTAGGAAGGGTAGGCGGCCATGGAAATGGCGTGAGGTTTTAGGCTAGGAAAGTTGACGAGAGAAAAGATATCGAGAATAGAAGAGAGAAGGATACAAGGAGTGGTGTTGTACCCTCTACAGTAGGTATCAGTAACGCCTACCAAGCCTACAATTATATAATATATATATAATTTAATACACCCCATAGGCTTGATAGTAGAAGAACCCACACACACCCACAACCCGTAACCTAGTACCCCCATTTCCACCAGCAGCCGCGATGACTCCGGAATCGGTCAACACCCACGGCCCGGGAGATTGTGTCAACTTATACATATTAGCTATGTATAAGTTATAGGCTAGACTGAGGTATGCTTCTAGTGAGTACAACCAACTAGTATTTCTTCTAGGTTTCCACTTCTGGTCTTTCATTCAGTGCCTCTTTAACATGGTATCAGGGGTCACTTTAGAAAAGCCAGTCAGACGAGTCCAGGGGAAAACCGAGGAAGACACAAGGGACAGTGCGGGCAGTGAGCTTGTCCGTGCCAGAGGCACGAACGTGAACAAGGCAGCCCCAGACGTGGAACGCAGACGCGTTACTAGGGGACCCGGTCCAAAGGAGGGTCGGCGAAACCTGCGGCCGCTGGGAGCGTGGCCACAAGTTAAGCTGATGAGCAGCGTAGCGAACAGCGAACGGCCACAGAAAATGGGGGGCATCGGCATGAATCATGGAGGTACGAGCAACCTCCATGACCAAGCCGATGCGGCGCTCAGCAACCCCATTCTGCTGTGGCGAGTCCGGCAAGGTGTACGACTGGGTGATGCCCTCCGCACGACAGAACTGTCCAAGCCGACCAGAGGCGAACTCGCCGCCACGGTCAGAGTGGAGACACAACACGGGGAGACCACGGTGGAGACGCGCAGCCACAACCCACGGGAGAAGAACGTCGGGCACGTCGGCCTTCCGCTCCAGGGGAAACACCGTGGTGTAGCGCGTGTAGTCGTCGACGAGCACAAGGAACTAGCGCTCACCGCGCGGTCCGGGGATGGGGGCAGGGCCCCAAACGTCCAGGTGCAGGGTCTGAAGGGGGGCAGTAGCAGGGCGCAGCGAGGAGGAGTGAGGAGCACGGCGGAGCCGACCCTCGACGCAAGGCGTGCACGGTGGCGCAGTCGAGGGAGGAAGGGCAGGGAGCGAAGCATATCCATCTGCGGTACTTCTTCCTGCGCGAGCTACAGCAGCGTCGCCAGGCCCGCGTAGTTCACTTGGCCTCAGGTGCCAACACAGCTGATATCTTTACTAAGGCGCTTGCGCCTAAAGATCATCAGCGGCACTGTGTACAGCTTGGTCTTGCTCCTGTAGCTACTCCCCTGTTAGGATCTTGATTGTGTACTCTCTATTATATATGCTTGTCAGATTGGCCTTGTGGCCTTACCTCCAGTGGCTGGACTAGTAGTGCTGCCCTGAGCTGTTTGCTTCTTGCTTAGCTTCACCCCTTGTCTAGCCTAGGGGGTGTGTCAACTTATACATATTAGCTATGTAGAAGTTATAGGCTGGACTGAGGTATGCTTCTTGTGAGTACAACCAACTAGTATTTGTTCTAGGTTTCCACTTCTAGTCTATCATTCAGTGCTCACTTTAACAGATGGCAATGGCGGCAGGCACAGCAGTGACGAGAGCAACGGCGGCGGTGTGCGGCGGCAAATGGCTAGCGGCAACAGCGGTGACTTCAACGTCACAGGCGGCTGCAGCGGCCCCCGCCCTCTCGGCGGCATGGCCAATCTCATAACGGCTATGGGAAGGCCTTCACGAGGCAGTCGACAGCTGTGGCAAGGCAAGGGGGACGCAGGGGAAGGAGAGGGGGGGGGGGGGGGGCGGGGGGGGGCGTGGTCCAGAATCACGCCATAGGCAGGCGCGCGGGCGGCAGGTCTAGCGGCTCCACAGGCGTTGCGCGGCCGGCTGCCGCCCGACGGCGCCGCCACCGTAGCGTTACGACACCGCCACATTGCGGCGTCGATGCCACGGCGTGACGTCGATGCTGCGACGGCAGCTCGACAACGCCGTCACGCCGCCACGGCTGGATATCGATGGCGCGGCCACGGCTGGACGTCGACGCCACAACAGCGCGACGCCACGGCAGCGCGTCGAGATGGCCGCGGCACGATGGCGCCGTCACACCGCCACGGCTGGACGTCGACGCCACGACAGCGCAATGCCACGGCAGCGCGTCGAGACGGCCGCGGCACGACGACGACGCCACAGCAGCACGACGCGGCCGCCATGGCAGCGCGAGAGGAAGAGGAGGAGTGCACGACGGAAGCGCAGGTCCGGGAAGGGCGATCTGCTCTGTTACCATGTCACGATAGGCTAGGTAGCTAGGAAGGGTAGGCGGCCATGGAAATGGCGTGAGGTTTTAGGCTAGGAAAGTTGACGAGAGAAAAGAGATCGAGAATAGAAGAGAGAGGGATACAAGGAGGGGTGTTTTACCCTCTACAGTAGGCTTCAGTAATGCCTACCAAGCCTACAATTATATAATGTATATATAATTTTACAGGCAACACTACTAGTCTGACCTTTGGTGAGTGTAATAAGAAAACTCAGGGCAGCACTACTAGTCTGACCACTAAGACAAGGGGCCACAAGGCCAATCACCAAGTGTACCAAGACAAGCAGGTATAAAACAACAAGTACAAGCAGGTATAGTATGACTCAGGATACAAGCAGTGGTGCTGCTTCTGGGGCTAGACCAAGTTGAGTACAGAACCGCTGATGGTGACGAGGCGCAAGTGCCTTGGTGGAGATGTCAGCGGTGTTGGCCTCTGAGGTCAACTGTACTATACGAATTTGACCGCGCTGCTGCAACTCACGCAGGAGGAAGTACCGCTGCTGGATATGCTTCGATCATGGCCCTGTTGTTAGGAAATAGGACCGGGGCAGACCTACGCTGCTCACCTAAGTCAATGAGCAAGTACGACAGCCAGCGGAGCTCCTGAGCAGCCATGGCCCCAGCATAGATCTCTGCCTCACAACAGGACTGAGCTAAAGTCGGCGACCTGGTGGATCTCCAAGAGACTGCACAAGCAGTAGACTAAAGCAGTAGCCTTGAGATGACCTGAGCGTCTCCAACTCGTCGGCCCACGACGCGTCTGTGTGTCCAGTGAGCACCGTCCTCCTAGCACAAGCCCTAGTCCTGATGTCTCGCCAAATACCGCAGTACCCTCTTCGCAGCCGACCAGTGGGCTGGTCAGTGCCTGCCTGTCGCGACAAAGCGAGCTAGAAGACTGAGAGGGTATGCTAGATCTGGTCGAGTGCAGGTCATCAGGTACATGAGGCACCCCACCAGCTCTGCGTATGGACCACTAGCCTCGACCGGCTCCGCCGGAACAGGAGCAGAAAGCTTGTGATCCACAGGCAGAGGGGTGGGTTGTGCTAAAGAGAACTGGAGATTAAACCTCTGGAGGATCTGCTGCACCATATTGGACTAAGAGAGTGTGATCGTGCGAGCGGTGCGGTCACGAGAGATCTCCAAGCCCAGATAGCGCATCAACTCCCCCAAGTCTGTACAGGTGTGTCTCCTAAGCAACTCAGCCTTCACACAGGCCTGTGCGACTCTGTCAGGAGTAGCAAAGATAATATCGTCTACGTACACTAGGATGTAGAACGGTGTCTGACCCGTGCGAACAAAGAGAGAGGGGTCAGCAGAGGACGGAAAGAACTGCAGCTCAGCAAGAGTGTCATGAAACGTGTCA